GAATAATGATAATTAATTATGTATTATTCATTAACATGGATGAAGACTTGGGATGTATCAGCCAATACTAATAATTGAAGGTTGTTTGAAGGGTCCTTGAGATTATAAGAACCAACATCATTTTTTACTTTTTTTTTAGCAATCATGCAACACATTTGCATATATGTGGTTGATTTTGTAATTATGGAAGAAATAGTTGCAATAAGTATTAGCTTAAAAAAAATCAAATCCATCTTGATAGTTGATTTACAATATGGACATTTTCAATTAGATCTCTTGATTCTACTAGATGAAGGATTTTTTCAATCCTAGAAATCCTCTTGGATGAATTTCTTTGGGTTGGAGTATCTCAATGTTATCTTTTCTATCAGCTAAGAATCATTGAGATTAGAATTGCATAATACTTGGTTCTAATAACTTAAAGCTTCTATAAATTGGAGCATTTAACAGATCAAGGCAGCTACTTGATGGAAGAAAGGTATTAGAGCTAGTAGTAGTAAACAGGGGACATTGATGTACTTTCTGTAGTTGCAAAAATATTTTAGCAGCTCTGTAATTTGCATTGCATATTTTAGACACAAGTCAAACTTATCTCTATTTGTTATCAATTATGTTAATTCACATTTAATTTATGCATTTATCTTAATCTGATTATAGTTTTTTTCTTGATTGTGAATTTTATTTCTACAAATAAATTAAAATAAATAAAAAAGATAAGAAAATATAAAATATAAAAATAATATTTATGAAACTTATAATAATGTTTTTTAAAAAATGAAAAAAAATTATTAAAAAATCCAGCATCAAATAAAAAAAAAATAAATAATAAAATAATTTATTATCAAATAAATTATTTGAGAATATATATAATGTTATAGGATTGATAAGAAGTGATAGTTAAGTATTGAATTGCAAGTTTTTTTTTTTTTTTTTTTTTTTTTGTAACTTTGTTACTATCTCCATATTAAAAGAATATAAAGATATAAATTATAAGGGTTTGAACAACATATGAAGCAAGTATATAAATTAAATAAAAATCATTTGGATGTTGATGAATAATTTATTTTGTTTATTTTGATAAATATATTTGAAAAAAAATTATAAAATTTATCTCTCTTTATATATATATATATATATATATATATATATATTTGAATTAAGATCTAAAGAAATTCAAAAAAAAGAACACACATATACACATATACACATATACATACACACACACATACATACTTCAATATAAATCAATATAAGAACCTATTTTTTAATTTAGAAATAAGATGGAAAAAAATATAAAAAATTCTTGATCTAATTTCTATATTTTTTAACCATTATTAGAAGATTTATTTTGAATTATTTTTGAAAGCAAAGGTGGAGGTGATAAATTGATTAAGAAATTGGAACAAGGCTTCATTAATACAAAGGACTTACAAAAGAGATGTTTAGAGAAGTTTTCTTGGAATTGAAGTGGTTATGTAATACAATTGATGAATTTTAAAATAGAATAAGATTATATATAGAAATTGAATTCTTAAGATGCAACCAATTAATTTTGTGTAATTTAGAAGAAATTGAGCAAGATTAAAAAGAATTATATGAAAGATTTTGCAATGAAGCAAAGAAATTAAGCCATTATTTAAATGATTTTAAATTTATAAATTATGTATTATAGTGGCAAAGTGGTATTTAAAGTTTTGAAAGAAGAGTGGTTAATACAATTAAATTTTCTACAATAATTTATCATCCAAAGCTTCCAAAATATCTTACATCCTCAAGCACAAAATCATGGCTAATGGATGGATATGAAACAACATGGTTGGATTTCAAAAATATTTAAAATCATCATTTTAAAATAATTTTTTGTAAAATAAAACCAAGTTAGTGTAAGATTATTTTATAGCTTATTATAATAGAAGAAAAGAATTTTAATTGAAGAATTTTATGAATAAGTCATATTTTTTTTGTTTGCAATAACTTCTTCATAAGATGAATGTATATTTATCTTATGTCTAAAGTATGAATAAGTCTTAATAAAGATTGAGATCTTGTAATTGGTTTTTATTTAGAAACAGTGAGTAGGATAAATATAATGGTTTATAATAAGAAACTAAAAGAGAATGTAATAGATTTATATTACAAAGACTACTTTATGAATGTTATTTTGAAGTTGGACTAATTTAAATTCTATTGAATGTCTTTATTTAATATTTAGAATATTTACCAAGGATATGATATTATTAAATATATTATTAATATTATTAATTTTTACATCTAATAGAATGTATATTGATAAATTTTGACTAATTTAAAGTAAAATTAATATTTATGTTTGAATGTATGATTTAGAATCAAGTTAAAAATATTTTTTTATTATTTCATTATTGCTTACCTTTTAGGATAACTAACAAGATTTTTATCAATAGCTTGGAGGTTGGTAGTGGATTTTTGGATTTAAGGGTTTATAAGCAATGTTGAAGATATTGATACTACACCTAATATGTAAGATATCAATGAAGATATCTGGAAAGAATGTAAAATATGTATTGTAGGAATGCAAGTTTTTTTAGAAAATAAATATCATTTAAACAAAAAAAAATGTCCAAATCTATCCAAGAAAATTGCTTATATGATAAAGGTCTTTCAACAGCTAATAATTTATAATAATAATAATACAATATAGTAAAGATTTTTATTACATGAATTAATTCTTGTGGTGAATAAAGCTAATCATTGATAAAAATTGTGGGGATCAAAATTGGTGTCAAGCGGCTATATTACATTTGAAGAACAAAGGGACATTTAAATTCTAAAAACTTTAGAATTTAAAGTGTTGTTATGATGTGGCAAGTGATTTGCTTAGAAAGCACCATTGGAAGACATTTAAAGATATAACATTTACTAATTTTGTTGGTTCAACCTTTAATGATGTAGAAAGTAATAATAATAATCTACATATAATGTTGGTTTTTGTAAGTAGAGATAAGAATTTTGAATATTGTGAATTAACAAAGCATTTACTACAAAGATTGAAAGACATATATTACACATAAGATGGAAAACTAGATGACTTGAAGTTGTTATCAAACATAATAAATATTGAAGGCATAGAATTTAGAAGCAAAGAATCTTTTAGAGAAATTTACAAAGTAAAATAGTGGAGGCTTTTATGTAATAAAAAAAAAAGAGTGTTAAATATGATAAGTTTTTTTATTAGGAAAGTGAATATTTCAGCAAGTTTAAGCCAATTCAACTTGATTAAACATTATCTTGTAATAAAAGATGATAATAATTGCAATGGTCAAACTTATGCTAACAAAAAAATAAATAGAAGTTTATATTTGGAAATGGAGTTAATTAAAATAAACTTGGAAAATAAACTTGGAGAATATATTGAAAGAAAAAAAAATCTATATATTTTTTTTTGTTGATATTATGTATCAAATTATAAGAGAGATGTGCTACTTTCATGACATGCACATTGCACATTGGAATTTTAAGCAAAACAACATCTTACTTAAAATTGTAGATAAAGAAATAATAAATGATACTACTAAATATACTAATGTGTAATTAATTGATTTTGGAATGTCCAAGATTGATGTTGGAAGGAATCTAAATGCTATAGACAATAATTATCTCTATGACAATATAAAATACATAGCTTCTAAAGAATTGAAAAATACATTTGAATCAAAAAAAGTTGTATGCACTTAAAGCAAATGTATATTCATTTGCAATAGTACGTTCTAAGATTCTTTTAAATGAAGATCCATTTTACAATATTAACCTGAGAAGAGAGATATTAAAAAGAATAAAGAAAGATAAAAGACCAAAGTTGTCTTTAAATTGCAATGAACTAGCAAAGCTTATTAAAGAGTATTAGAGGTAGAATCCTTTTCAATGGCTAAAATTTGCAAGTATTTATAAAATATTGATGAAGTTGAAGAATTTTTTTTTGGTAGAAAGTGGTATTACTCAAACACTACATTTTGGTTTATGGAGAATAAAGATCTATCAAAATATAAAACCACAAGAAACGCACAATAAAATACAATTGCTAAGATTTTCACAAATAAATATGGTTAATATGCATGGAATTGTTTGCATTGATTTTAATGTCATATGAATACTAACTTTTGTGATGTGATGATGATTAAATGTATTTTAATAAGTTTGAGTTTGTAAATTTAAATATATTATGGAGTTTAATTAATTTGTATTTAGATTTGTAAATATAAGTTGAATTACCTAAAGACCACAATGGCAAAGATTTCATTCATTTTTTTTTGTTATATTTTATAATTTTATTAAATGAATTTAATCTTCTGTAGTTTTGAGCCAAATTGAGCTATATTTATGTATTATTACCAAACTATATGTGAATTATTACCAACATATATTTAAAAATATATACAAATTTTTATTTTGAAAAAATGATAAAATATTATATAAATTATTCTTTTAATAAATGGATTAATATATATATATATATATATATATATATATAGAAAGGAACTGTATGTTTTTTTTTTATTTCTTTGGAAGAGTTGTTATGTATACCAACAAATATCACTCTTTCTAGTTGCTAATAATAATATTAAGTATATTAAAAATAATGATCGGGTCTTAAGAATTCAATCTCTAAAGATCAGTTCACTTATTTGCAGTGCAAAAAAAATAGTCACAAAAAAAACTACCTTCTAAAAAGTAATAGAATATGAGAGCTTAGAATGATGCAAGCGTCATCGAGGCTTGGAAAACCACGGCAACGCCCTCCTTATCCCACGGCAATGCTCTCCCTATCCCACGGCTTTAGCTGCCGAGCCCGTCATCCACAGCCGAGTGCTGTCGTTCAACGGAGCCGTCCAACAGGAGACGAAGTCGACACGTTTTCGTCGAGATCTTCGGTCGTCGACATATCGACGAAGAGTGCACACGCTCCGTCCGTCGAGCCACGAAGGTTGGCGCTTCTGTCGCACTTTCAAACTGGGGCTCTTCCCGAAGTCGGCATTCAATGCTTTGCTTGCTTGCACGCCCTGCTCAATTCAGTCTTTCTGGATGTGTCGATTGATTGCTTGGAGCCCCTTTTCGTTCCGAGTAACTTATTGTTCTACAACAGTTTCAAGCAGTGGGAGATTTCGGAGCCCTGATCCGTATATGATGCTGTTGAACCTATTCATTGTTGTTACTGCCCTTTTACGAGGGTGATCCCGCATTGTTTTAGGGTGCTCCAAGTGAGAGAGAGAGCTTGTTTGGTTGTGGTGGTGATTTAATTGGGGTTGGCGAAAGTAGGGTTCAAGCTGAGCGAGTAGTTCAGCAAAAATGAGAGAAGGCGAGGTGGAGAAGCTGCGGGCGGTAGTGAGGGATTGCTTGGGGAAACATTTGTATTCCTCGGCCATCTTCTTCGCTGACAAGCTCGCGACATTGGCCGGAAATGCGACGCAGGATTTGTACATGCAGGCAAGTTGGCACCGCTCTCCTTAAAATGAAATATATTTGGTGTTCATCGAGATTCTTTCTGTGGTTTCGGATTTTCGGAATTTAATTTTTTCTGTATTTTTAGCTCATTCTGATGATATTATTTGATGAACTCTTTGGAGCTGCGAACTTCGATTTGTGTTTTATTTGTGCCGTGTTAAAATTCCCTCGGCTGATATTGCTAGGCTCATGACTTATGAACATACGAAATATAGTGGTCGTTGATCTGTTCTGAATGTTGGATAGTTTAGGTTTCTGAGTAAACCACCGCTATTCATGTGATAGTGATCCGCTTGATCAAAATGTCCTCAAGATTTTAATTTTTCATCACATACCCTATTCTTCGTCTGAGTTTCTCGTGGAACTTTCTACTGTTCTGCATTTGGCAAGAATCAAATTTGGGTCTTGAGGCAATGTTGTGTTTTGAGACCGCTTTAGCTGCCATTGTTTTTTACTGCAACTAAACTCCGTGTTCTCTTCATATATGTTCAAACTACACGAGTACTGAAGCGCTCGCTGGAATGCCACGCACAATTTCAGTTTGGGTTTAGGGTTTAATGTGCAATTGGCTGTCAATTTTCAAGACAATGCGCTAAATACTGTCAGGATTGTGGTCTGATCTTTGCGTCGGCTGTCTCCTTGAAGTTGTAATAACGAGCAAGCTCAAACCTCAATCCTTATTGACCAATGATGTTTTGTCTTTTTCTGAGTTGTCGTCAGTCAATGATCATGAATCGAATTTGAGCATATGGGACTTGTGGGGATCACGAGTTTAAGGATCATAACTTTTGTTTTTATTTCCTGTCATCCAATCTTCTATCGTATAAACTCGAACACTCTCTGTCTTCATCTTATATATATATATATATATATATATAAAGAAATCAAACTTGTATTACATTATGCAATGTGCCAGATACGTAGCATGAAGGGTTTGAAATTAACGTTCATCTATGCCGCACATCTGATCGGTTTGTGTACTGAAAATTCAGGCTCAGGCATTGTATCTTGGAAAGCAATATCGGAGAGCTCTGCATTTACTGCGAAGACATCACCTGATTACTGCTGACTTGCGTTTCCGTTATCTCGCTGCTAAATGCCTGGTAAGCTTTTCTTGTGATATACCATACCGACTAGTTCTTATATTTTCATGTTCTCATTATAGACACTAAAATACATTCACTCATAGTATACTCGAAGTTACAGTTCACCATTTGTGCAGAATGTAGCTGCAAGTAACGTGCAATCCGTTATGTCTGAATTCACTTTTCAGTTCCTTACTGCGCATCCCTTCAATTCTGATCGTAAATTTTGTTGAAACGATTTTTCTCTTTTACTGCATCATTAGACTGCAGCCCACCTTCTGATGTGAAAATTGTTGATATTAACCGTCTTACACGTGGTTAGTTGAAAGCTTGAATAGCTTATGACAAATGACGTGTGCAAATGCCATATATTGGATTTATTTGTAGGAGGAGATTAAGGAGTGGGATGAGTGTTTGCTGATGCTTGGAGACAGCGAAGTTGATGAAGAAGGCAACCTGTTAGTGATGGATGATCAAGACACTGAATTACTCGACAAGAATATTGAAGAACGAGAGATCAGTGTGAGTATATTGTGCCTTTCTGCTTGTACAGACCAATCGTTTTTCTCTGGTGAGATTTCTTGTGTTTTTATCTGCTGTGTTAAATTATTATCGTACAGATCGGAGCAGCAGTGTGCCTGTTGCGAGGACGTGCCTTTGAAGCTTTGGAGAATAGAGCTCGAGCTCTACGATGGTACTTTTCTACTCATTGGACTCTTTAATATACCTTGTTGGCAATATTTAGCAAAGAGAGACCGGTCTCTTTCTGACCAAATAAACTGGACTCTCATGAGTGTCAATGATTCCTTCCCTAGTTCCTGGAACTAAACTGCAGGAACTTGCATCTGACAAGCATATGCCGATTTAAGTTCACGCGAAAATTCTTTTCTCGCTGTTTCGTATGTTTGATTCGCCTTGAAAGCCAGTCTTCTTCTTCTTTTTCTTCTCCTTTTTTTTTTTTTTTTTTTTTTTTTTTTTTTAATGATTTTCCGTTGCCTTTTTGGATGTCTTACCTGATGTTATAGGTTCTGATTGTTGAAAGCCTTGGTTTCTTTTCAGGTACAAAGCTGCTTTGAAGGCTGATCCCTACTGCTATGAGGTGTGCTGGAAGTTCATTCTGGATTGTGCGTGTTTGTGCAAAGCAAGGTTTAGAGTTCAATTTGGAGGTCATCGCATCATAAATACCACCAATGTCGATTGATTTTTATTTTTACATATATTTCCTCCACACACATACTGTCTCATATTTGTGAATCCCTGCTAGTGATTTCTACAATCTCCCTGTTTGACTTTGCAAGTAATGCTGAAACGATTGTACAAGTTTTCAATTAGAGCTCTTCTTCTTCTTCGTTATCTTATTTTTGTTGTTTTATCAATGCAATGTATATGCGGTCTGAAAATTGAATGTTTACATTTTTGCAGGCTTTCGAGCATTTAATAGACAACCATATGCTGACAAGCGAGGAAGGTAGGCCATGTAAGGTCACATCCACATCTTCGTTTGTGTATACTCATCTATTTCTTTAGGGCGTCCGACATATTATCGCTACTTCCATCTACTTCAGAGGGCGTTTATAACCATGAATAGAAATGAGAGTACGACGGATTTTCAAATGTTATATGTCTTTACCACTCCCTTTGGTAAAGATTCTTAAATTATACTCTGCAGATGCAGCACTATTTAGCTTCCAAAGTTGCTTTATCTATAACATACGATCTGTATTAGCTTGCACATTCTCTGGCTTATTTTTTAGTGATGCAAGATTCCGATCTGAATTTGGTGTTCTTGAAACATAGTACAGATATATATGATGTATCTGGCTAGTGAGTAAATCTGGGTCTGACGACATAGACCCAACAATTAAAATCGTGTGTATCTTTCAGAGTCTGTTCTTCTAAGTTCACTGAAATTCGATCCGGAGGACCGCTGGTTATCTTTACTATATTCATGTCGTGCCAAAAAGGTTCTTGCATTGCCCTATTATTGTAGTTTTTGTTTTGTTTTGTTTTGTTTTGTTTTTTTTTTTTTTTCTGTTGAGCATTGTGTATGTTTCCTCCATATTGAAATATCAGAAAATATCGTCCAATAATGTCAGCTGGCTAACGTTGCTTGAAATTTGGTGGTATTTGTATGCAGTATGGACAAGTATCAGTCATTGAAGAGAAATTTCAGGAATTGGAAAAGGAGCCGGATGAATCTCGACCAGAGGAGGAGAGAGTAGGTTGTTCATTGAAAGATAACAATGATATTATTGCATGTAGGGCAGATTATCTCTATCATCAAGGGGAATTCCAGCGCTGCTACGACACTACTAAAGCGTAAGTCGATTTCCAGATACTTTAGAAGGGGATTTTCCTATTGTTACAAAGGCCATGTTGACGGTTGCTAAGACAGTTGTGCTATCTGCTCATGATGGACATTTTTCTGACTTAATTTGGATGCAATTTAATGCAGACTGCTCGAGAAGGATCCTTACCAGTTGAATTGCATGCCATTTCATATTGCTTCCGCCTTGGAGCTGGGCCGTAAGAATGATCTTTTCTTAAGAGCTCATAATTTGGTGCAGGAATATCCTCAAAAGTAAGTGATCGTGCCGTATTTTAGAACAAACTGACTCTTGTTTTATACTTAGTACTTAGTGCAGATGCCCTCGCAGACATGTTTTCTGTTTAGCCTTGAATTTTGATTATATGCTTAAAAGTTGTATTTCCTACTTTTCGCGCCTTGAACAGAGCTATATCCTGGTTTGCGGTGGGTTGCTACTATTATTGTATTCGCCAATTCGATCATGCACGGCGGTACTTCTGGTAAGTCTTCCTGTCTTCTTTTGCGTGCATGAACATGTCTATGATGGTCTAAAATTCTTCAGCTGAATGTATGTTTGAACTAACAAATTGAATTCCTCTTTGACGTAGTTCATTGATTCTATTACATGATAACTTTGCAGCAAAGCAACAACCCTAGAAAGCTCCTTTGCTCCAGCTTGGCTTGGCTTTGCCAATTCGTATGCTGCTCAGGATGAGAGCGACCAGGCTATGGCTGCCTATCGTACCTCTGCCCGCTTGTTTGCAGGGTATTTTCAGTTTTCTCTTTAACCAAAAAAGCAATGTCAGCTACTTCTCAAGAAGGTTTTGAGGTTCTTTCTTGCATGGATGCCCTTATGGCTCTACATTGGCAGGCTCTACATATTGTACCACAGATAAGCAGTTAATTCTTATTTACTGAAAGTTGTACCAATCTTTTGATTTTTTTTTATCACCAACTTTTCCATGCTCTAATTGTCGCTTTATTGTCAAATGCAGGTGTCATTTACCAGCGCTCTGTATTGGGATGGAATATTTGCGAACTAATAATCTCAATCTTGCCGAACAAGTACGTTTGTATTATTGTAACATTCGGGTATTTATTTGACTGCTAAGGTGGGGTTTATATACTTTGGTAACACAATTTCCTAACACCCCGATCGGCCGAGAAATGACACCTTGTTGGCTATTGCAGTTTTTCTTACAAGCCAGATCCATTTGTTCAACTGATCCACTTGTCTACAATGAGCTTGGTGTGTTAGCATACCGCAATAGAGAGTAAGCATCATTAACTTTCGTTACAATCGTTCAATGAAGCAATGAAGTTTGTGACCAGGGTTAAACAAGCTTCTGAGGTAGACGCAATCATCGAAATGTTTTCATGCTCGTTCTAAGCTCAAGAGATACCTAGTTCTATTCCTGTTCAAGGTTAGGACAAGGTGACCCGTGCGAATTAATTTCTTGGTTACTTATAGCGCTAATTCGACCTACACATGCTTGCAAGGCTGATCTCGAGAATTAATAATTGATATTGACAGTTACGATACAGCTTCTCGCTGGCTACGGAAGGCTCTCCAACTGGTTCCTCCCCCACTTACAGAAGCTTGGGAGTCTACCGTCGTCAATCTTGCCCATAGTCTAAGGAAACTTAAGTACGTTTTCTTTGAGCTTACGTAATAATTTTTTATTTAGTGATTACTGCTTTTGAAGCACTAATTTTCAGCGTACTTACGTAGCTTCCTGGATTTATGCAGGTCTTACCCTGAAGCCATTTCCATGTACGAGAGAGCTCTGTCTCTCTTTCCGCGAGGCGCCAGCACATATGCTGCACTTGGTTTCACTTATCATCTGCAGGTTTGTCTTGGTCCTCAACTGTTTCAGAATGGAAAAAATTCTAATCATTTTCGCATAAGAAACAAATACTGTGAGCTTGTTGCTTGTGCCACCCTCCAGCAGTATTAGGGCTCATGTGAACGATATATAATGAGGTGGCCTTCTACTTCTTGCATGACATCCATGACCGTGTTAGGTTATGTTTTGTCTGGACACGAGTTATTCTGACAAATCTCATACAGGATTGGCTTCGTTTGTAATTTTCTCGTGTCTTCTAACTTTCGTGATGTCATTCTGCTTGTTAATCGGGATTGAAGTTGGACAACCGTAGTACTATGCATGCTATATGTGCAGCACCCTTTACTAAAGCAGAATTCTCCTTTCATTTTACACAGGGAAAGACGGGCAAAGCTGTTGATTATTATCACAAGGTAATATTCCCCTGTTATTTGGTTTACAGAGTGTATAGTGTTTTCTTGCAATGATTCTTCTTGCACTAAACTGTAACATTCTAGAACTTAAGCAATGACCCTTGGGAACGCTTGTTTGCAGGCCCTTGGATTGAACCCACATGACACCTTCACTGCTGAGATGCTTACAAGCGCGCTTCAAGAAGAATGCTTGCGTTTGAGTTCAGCCCCTGATGCTGAGTTTTATTCATTAAGTGGGATGCCACATATTTCTTAATGATATCACTTTAGCACATCCTTCCAATCCTGTGACGATTTCATATTGTCTCTCCATGATGTTTCCATCAAGCTGGTTTCATGAATTGCGAGAGGTTGCATTATATCTCTGCTTGCTATATTTCAAACTTAGACCTGGCCTTTTCTTAAGAACTGCTGTATGGAATGTGACTTGCTTCTTCAAATCTGAAGCTACTTGCTCAAAGTCGCATCATGGTAATGTTCATCTTTATGAGACCAACAGGCACCTTGTTACTCAGATTCGGCACAAATGTTTTCTAACTTTCTTCATGGAGAAGTTTTCGACACCATTTCCTATGACCTGATATTCCTTGTTGACACAGAAGGACAAACAGAGTTGAACACGCCCCATTTTTCACACTGAAATGAATTTATCAGCCGACCTTGGGGTATGCAGCTGAGCCGGTAGCCAAACGAAATGTATTGGCAACGCGTGATTGTATCCTCTCGATCCCCAGGAGAAAGGAAGTGTGGAATACAGCAACATCTGTCACCGTTCATGAAGAATGCCCTCAGTTGCTTTGGTTACCCTTGGACGAATGTCCTGGAGGAATAATCATATTTGGGTCAACTCCTCAGCAACAAAGGACATCACCTCAAACATTATTGGGTTCTAGAAACGATGGAAAAGCTGGAAACATGGAGAATGTTGAAATTGAGAGGATGTTAACATGTGGCATTTCATGTGTGGAATTGTTGTCTGCAGGTTGGGGAGGGAAACGGTTCTCATCCCTTTGTTGTTTGTTAATTGAATGGAGTGAGGGTTATGGTATACAATCCTCTTTGCAGGAAAGGAAAATTGCTTATATACTTTTGACAATTGAAATGTGAAGTGAGTGGGGTTGAGATGTGAAATCTCTTGGACTGGCCTTTGTTACTCCTTTTTGTGTCAATACTTGCATTCTTTAGTGCTCATTGATTTGGCCTTATGTGTTTGGTGATATTTATTCCACTATAACATCCATTATTATTTACATTATGTTTTAGTAATTTTTATGCTCTTTCAAAACCAGTTGACTTATTAGGTGTCACACAAAATTAAAGAAATAACAACTTGAGGTAAATAGTAATATATATTTGAATCCAAGTAATTGGAGAAAAATAATACAAGTAGCTAATACATAATCTTAAATTAATAATATTTTCTAAGTGTATATAATTTTAAATATTAATACTATTTTAAATCATCTATTATAGCTTTAATATTTTAATTCAAATGATTAAATAATAAATATTTATATAATATTTGTAATTTAATATTTTTTGAAAATATGATATTTTAGAAGATTATTTTGTATAATTATTTTACAAAAAAAAAATTTCATATATACTTTTAAATTTTATGATAAATATACAATACAAAGTTTTGCAAGAATTTAAAAATTAAAACATTAGTTGATTTTTAAAATTGATACATTAGTAATATTACTTCAAAATGATTTTAAAATAAAGACATATTTTTTTTTGTTATTCAAATGTATTTAATGATATTTTTAAAGACTTTGGTTATTTTTTAAGAAGGATTATTTTTAAAACTTATTATCATCATAATTATTAGAGTTATTATAATTTCTAGATAATCAAGATTAAAATTATATATATATATATATATATAATCAATTAATTAATTATACTATTCTAATTTTATATATATTTATTTTAATTTAAAATAAATGTTATGAAATAAATATTTTAGATTAGCATCAATTTATTTATTAATGGAATATATTTCTTTTATTAAATGCTTTATACGTGTTTTGTTATTTTGATTAATGTTTTAGTAGAAATCAAGAAAAATATTCTTCTATAATGTCTTCATTTTTATACTAAGTCTTTTATATTTTTGCCTTGAAATTTATATGTACAATTTTTATGCATATATTTATGATTTCTCTAGCCATATATATATATATATATATATATATATATATATTTATATGCATATGCCAATGTAGCAAATCATGATACATTACTAAAGAATACTTTATATGATTGTAAATATGTTGTATCATGCTACTACATATTGATACTTCTAAGTGCATTTGCTAGCACAAATCACCTTGTAAATTGCTATGGAACTTATATAATAACACAATAAACAAAACACCTTACCACACACATAAAAATCTTGCAAATATAACCACAAACACAAGCCATAAATTAAAATACTAAATTCATGTTGTAGTTCATCAAGTAAACAAATGCATGACAAAAGAAAAATGGTTCAAGATGTTGATTACTGCATATATGTTTATTTGTCCATTTAAGATGATTCATATGTGTATCTTGATATTTCACATGTGTACTTATGCATCCTTCTTTTTAACTAATGAATGCATGATAATCTCTTCATTCAACAACTCTAGTTGCTTCTCTGCTTAGTTATTCCTAATGTAAATCTATTTCTTTCTACAATGAATAGTGAGATACTTGTATGACTTGATGTATGTAGTTCTCTACAATGACAAATTGCACTTTGATGCACATGTGATGATATAAATGGATAGTAATTCTGTGGTTGTTTTTTCTAGCAATAGTTAATACTTGGAAGCAAATTTGTCCTAATAGCTACACGTCTCATTTATTAGTACCAACATCATCTTGCCTTTGTATTCTAGTAGTCAATTGTGGCACAACAATTATTAATTCTAGTTGAATGTAGATAAGTTGATATACAACCTACTCTTATGCAACAACCAACTATTCCTCCTTAATTGTGGCCCCTACCAATTGTGTGAAGACGCCTATTGCATCTTTATGCTCCTATATTTTTCAATTATGAATAAGTGGGTGCCAATTTCCATTTTGATGCTGCTTGAAGTTGGTGGAATCTACTACAAAGGTTGCAACCATAGTTAGATGGTAGTGTTTTTCAAATAATTCAAAAAATACATGTACTACTTTATCTTGTTTGATTTAGGATCTTGCTTGGCATGCCATTGCTTATAATATTTGTGTAGTTGCTTTCAAACTTGCAACACAATGAAAGAAAGGCTTGTATACATGTAACTAGTAGATATCATTACTAACAACTTGCAGTAGCTTTAACATTAACTTTGTATTCTTCCAAAATGTGTTATTGTAAATTGTTGTTGAATGATTAAAGTAGGCTTTGTGGATACTATTCTTTGTTGACTTGGCCTACTTATTTGACATAACCAACTACTTCATGGCATCTTAGAAAGCTAAGATGTTTTTAAGTATAAAAAGCTCTATGATAAAAGAAGTAGAAATATAACTCTTTAGATTTTTAGATTGTACACACACACATTCAAATAGATAGATGCTTGTTCAAAAGAAAACATTGTCATCTAAGCTACTAGCTACATATCTATAAATATTCATAATAGCCTACTAGCAATAGCTATTTGTTAATTTTCTAGGGATTTGGAGGTACTAATGAAAAATGTACACATATAAAGAATAACTTGCTAAGAGTTCAAAGTTAAAATATTCTAATAAGAAACACTTTACAACTTAATTATCAACATCCAATATTTTGAAGTGTACCTTATAGAAAATTGCTCTTCAATTTAGTTGCAACAAATTGATGGCATTCTTGCCTTTGGTGTCTTCTTCTTCTAACTAATAGTAGACATGTTCACAAGTCCATTGCTATTAGTGCATGCAATCAATTCCTCTTGAGTTTGGATATAGAAGTTGTCATAGATTTTAATAGAAAGTAGCTTCATGCCGAGCAATTCAATGACTGCGTTAAAAAAAAACTTTGTTGAAGTATGAGTCTTGAATGAAGTACAAAGTAATGGAGTTTGTGTAAAACAACCAACACAACTTATCAATGGTCTTTCTCCTCACTGCTACTAGATCCATGAACTTATCAAAGGGACATCACTTATTACTACTTACAATTGTTGGTGCTAAGGTGCTTGCAGATGGTGCTATTATGGTCTAGTCAGCTTTTGAGGCCATACCCAAGTAGCCAACATATGTACCATTCTTCTTGAGGTCGCTAGCTACACATTGAAAAAGATTTGTTGTAAAAGCTTTCCATGATAAAGAAGGAATTTTAGTTAGGACAATTACTATTTATGTTAAGACTTATCTTCTAAAATCACATCAAAATCTTTCCAATATATATATATATATATATATATATATATATATATATTTTTAAAAATTTTGTGTGATAATAAATAATGTAAAAATTAAGATTTGTACTTATATTCCACATAGTGTTGTAACACTTTATCAATCTTATCAACAACTATGTCACCTATTGAATGAAGATCAAAACAAAAAGCGCAAACAAAGTTACTTAAACACGGCACAAAATAAAGATTGTAATGGTAGCTAAGCATAGAGCTCAACAATTACAATTGCATGCATGCTTAAGTCAATCACATGACATACACCATCAACTAGCATATCCTTAACAATCATTAAAGCTATAACTACAATTATTACTACAACTAGCACAAAATTAGAGAAAAATTCAACATCATATGCCTAGTTATATAAATATTATACATAGAAGTATATATATATAACTAATCATCTTTTTATAATATTATTCTTATTTTATCTAATTTTATTTTTTTGAAAAAAAAACTTTCCTTCAACAAAAAAATTATACTTTAATTATTTTAGCTACAATAATATTATTTATATATAATTTTTTATTAAGAAATAAAAACTTTTACTAATAATTATTAATTAATATAAAATTTTAAAGAAAAAAGATATATATATATATATATATATATAAAAGGAGTTGTTAAAGCCACACCTCCCTTTCCAAATCATGCTTCATTTTTGTACAAGTTCCATGTTCCCATCTCTTCCTATTCTACATCCCCATTCCCATACTCCAACCCTGCCACCTCGACTCCACCTCGAAGCCCACCCAACCCTATCTCCACAATCCAACCCGCCTTGTCTCCACCCCACTTCCTTGTTTTTTCCTCTTCTTTTGGTCATAGTATTGCCAAAAATTAATAATAATAATAATAATAATAATAATATATATATATATATATATATATGTGTGTGTGTGTGTGTGTATGTGTGTTTAAGTAAATGTAACTATAATTTTTTAAGATTTGGATATTTGATTTGCTCTCATCTTTATGTTACAATTTAGATATCAATCCAAGTCTCTATATAGTCATATCTAATTTATGATTTATAATTTTAAGTGCTTAGCAAAGTAGCAATATATGTCTAAATATATATATATATATATATATATATACATCCATATACACATATACACTAAATTAATAACTTAAATATATAACATAGATTATATAACCCATTTCTTTTTAGATTTAAAAAAAATCAAAATAAAAGGTTGAATACTAATAAAGAATCGGATTATTGTGGTTATTTCTTAACAATATATTTTTCATTATGGCCAAACCATCTACTAGTGGCTATTTTATTTTATTTTATTTATTGTGTCACTTCTTAATATCAAATGATGTCCATGATCTTATGTTTTCATTGCAATAAAAAAATTATATATCTATCATTATTTCTTATTTTTCTTATTTTAAAATCTTAACTATATTATAAAAGATAAAATAATAATAATAATAATAATGAATCTCAATTTTACTGATATAATACATTGATTTTGATCAAAATAATTTTGGAATGAGCATGTACTTTAAAAATCTCTATTATGCACAGACCTTTGAAGTAAAGCATTTAGTGATTTTTTTTCAAAATTCCAGCATATTTATATACACACACATCAAAACTCAATTAAAAGTTAATTAATGTAAGAAAGTAGTCACATAGAGATTACAAAAAAATTAATTATCCATATTAAAGTTAATAAACTTCAAATGATAACTTATAATAAATGATTCTAATTGAATAAATAATGACAGATATGATCTTAGTCTTAACAAAATCAGAAGCACTTCTACCTTACATTGCACAAGTCATTTTTTACTTTGATTATATATATATATATATATATATGTATATATAGTTACATATACTTATACATACATAGATATATCATTAATTTTTGGCAGTGCTATGACCAAAGGGAGAGGGGGAAACAAGAGGGTGGAGTGGGGACAAGGGGGGTTGGATTGGGGAGAGTTGGCACAGGGTGGGGATAGGGCCGGGTGGGCCGGGGGGTGGTGGCAGGGTTGGGTTTGGGCATGGGGATGTGGCATGGGAACAGGGTGGGAGACATGGAACTTGTACAAAAATGAATCATGAGTTGGGAAGGGGGGGGGGGGTGGTTTTAATAACTCCTTATTTATTTATTTACATTATATATATATTTAGAAATAATTTTTACATTCATTTTTTATAAAAATGTGAAAAAAATAAAAAATTATTCACATTTATACATTGATCATTTGGACATCTAACCAAATTTAAACCAACTACAAATATTATTATAAAATTTTAAACATTGTATAAATCTTACAACTGAACATGGCACAAGTAAATAGAAGTTTGTTTTTAATATAAATATTGCCATGAATTTTTTTTTATTGACTATTTAACCATCATATCTCACTTGATAATGTGAATATATGTTGTACTGAAAACCTTAAATTTCTATAATATACATAACAATGAATTCATGAATCTCATTAAACATATTTAATTATGAAATTTAGACTAAACATGCACATCCCTGACTATTGATGTTTGTTTTATTATCAAACAATAATAATAATAATAATAATCACAATCATCAGTAGATCAAAAAACTCAGAATTTTGTAATACATTGAGACTACAGCTATGAACGAAAACTTTTAGTTTTAGAACAAAAAGATGAACCATGCAGTTGATTCTACCATGCTAAGCGTACTTCCCTTCCCTTACCCTCGCATCATGTACATACTCAAAATTGAAATGAAAGAACAAAGCCTTCCAGGTCATGAACTGTTTAATAACCTTTGGTCAAAATCTTCCACTACCAAGAGAAAGATGTCATAGATCTATGTTGTCTGCCCTATTTCCAAATGATATTTCTAACAGTTTCTTGTACAAATAATGCCAGAACTAATGATGCAGGACCACTAGCTAGACTCTTGCTGTCTCCTCAACTCTGCTGCCTCGGCCGCTTCTCGCAGCCGCTTGGCTATGACTTCGCCGCTCTGAGCCACCATAACTGCAAAACCGTAGTTTCCAACTCCACGGCCTTCTGAGCCGTCTCTGATGATCAACTCTGCGCGCCTCAGAAGATTGGCAGGGGTGTCGAACTCCGCAAGTCGACCCCCCTTGGCCAGAACCAGCACTCGGTCACAATCTATAATAGTTTCAATGCGGTGAGCGATTGTCAACACTGTGCACGTGTGAAACACACTTCGCATGGCCGTTTGTATCAACTGGTCGGTCTCTCCATCGACAGCTGCCGTTGCCTCGTCCATCACAATAACGCGAGACCTATAGTTACATCAACAAAAAACGAGCCAAAGCCTCAATTTGGGCACAAAAATACTTATTGTGTCAGAAATATTAACTAAGTAAATTTACAAATCCACCGATCTGATATAAAACTGGTTCCAAAAGGAGGACAGGAATGATACCTTCTTAGGAGAGATCGAGCCAAGCATAGAAGCTGGCGCTGACCAACACTGAAATTCTCCCCATTCTCTGCCACTACGCTGTCAATGCCTTTGTCCAGGGATTCGATCTTTTTGCTTAAATGAACATTAGCTATGGCTTCGATAATTTCAAAGTCAGTGTGCTGCTCAAAAGGATCGAGGTTCAGTCTTACAGTCCCCCTGAACAGTACAGGATCCTGCAATCCACGAAGATATCTCAAAAACGCTTATCAAAGATTCCATCAATCCTTCCAATATTCTCGTCTTATGTCCACAATACTGAAAAATTACTTGCATTGCCACTTTAAGGATAACGTTTCATTGGTGTATTTACCTGAGGGATTATGGAAAGACGCCGGCGTAGATCATCAAGGCCAATATGTGCGATATCAATGTCATCGATTAAAATTCTGCCACTGCAAGCTTTATTCTCAACTAGTCGGAACATAGCAGCTGCAAGACTCGACTTGCCAGCCCCTGTTCTTCCCAATATCCCCACTTTCTCCTGAGAGTTGACCTGATCAAGGCAGTCAAGGACAACGAGTTTCTAATTGAAATGAAAGTCATAATTATGTAATCTATTACTACTATAATAATTATGGCTTTAAAAAATGACCGAATAAGATCGTTATTAATGAATGCCTTGAAAATGCACTGAAATACTCTGAATAAGCTGTCGCTAGTATCAAACTAATATAATGAAACATCAAGTTCTGTTTGAAGAAGATTTTTACAAATCTCCAAGTTCTAGGGTGCAGACTGACCTTAAAGCAAAGGTCATTTAGTACTCGAGGAAGGTCCTCACGATAGGCCATAGTGTAATGAACAAATTCGATCTCTCCCTTTTCAGGCCATTTTTCAGTAATAACTCCTGGTGCCGTGTCTGAATCAGCTTCAGTTGGCAACTCAGTGTATGCCTGCTCGCAACCCAAACAGAACGAAGGCTAAAAACACTAAACCAGAGGACATACAACTTAAGGTTAACATAACTACCATATCAATACAGCATACATATCTGCTGTGAGCTGAACTTCAACCTCTCAAGTTGTCTCGGTCGACTGTTGTCACTTTTACAGTATGACCTGTCGAGCCGAACATAATTCATTGGCCCAATTTAATGTCTACTGGAGCATTGAAAAATATTTCGATTAGAAATCTAACACAACATAAACCACAAAAAGAAGTGTCGAAAGGTAAACCTGAATTCGCTCCACACTGGTAAAATAATTCTCTGTTTCAGCTGCAAGACGCACGCCATACTGGAAGAATCCTGTAAGCTGCAAGCTCTGCACCAGCACCACACCTGTACGTGTACTTACTGGTTAGAATTTAAAGAAAGATCAATCTAGGTGCCCACAAACGGAGAGAGCTTGGTCCGACATAGCAACGAACAAATAGACAGACGATTGTGGAAACTGAACTTTCTAAATTTACTAATGAGACATGGGAAATGGGTAAGATGGAATACCAGCTAAACCAGGTGATATACTATTTCGGAGTAGAACAACTAAAAGGGAGGCAGTGGCAACTGCCATGGAAGTTGCTAAGTCGAGACGAACACCTAGCCATCGAGAAGAGTGTACAAATAAAATGAAAGCGCGGTGATTAGCGTCGATCATGGCCAGAAACCGATCATGCATTCTCTTCTGCGCGCCAAAAGCCCGAACTGAAGCGATACCCTGATAAGATACGCATTAATAACCCAGATTAACTATTTAGATACTTCTTCGTATAAGTCATTTGAGTCACTGGTTTTAAGAGGGAAACCATTCAAGCTGGACACGTAGCGCAAAGATTGAGGACATCACTGTTCAGAAAAAATATTACCTGAAGGGTTTGAGACAAGTGTGCATACATAGGTGATCGCGACAAGCCGTCCAGACGCTTCAATTCTCGAGAAACAGTGACATAACGCTTTTGGAGGATCAAAAAGATAATTATGAATGGGGGAATGGCTAATAGGAACCAGGGAATAAGGACAGCTATGATTGCTATGGATCCCAAACACCCGGTAAAATTCTCCATGCACGTCTGCAATACTACGGCTTAAATTAGTCAATGAGAATTGAGCTCAAATTTATATATCCAAATGCATGGAAGTTACATCTACTTGTTCTAAAATTAGAATTATACTATTCTAAACGATTGACAGTGAATTTGACAGTAGAAAGACATCTTCAATGTTGGAGACCTCGAAATTTTAAGAACATACCTGTGCAGTTGAAGGCAGGAGTTCATCAACCAAGGACTGGTCTTTACTGAAGCGATTCACTATTCTTCCCACAGGATTCTGCAAAAAGTAAGATAGGCTAAACAAAAGTATTCCAAGAATCGTTTCAAGTATTCATTCGTGGCCACGTTCCCACACTAAGTCAACCAGAATAATCCCTTGAAGTATCTTGTACGTGTTATATCTGCTCATATATCCTTCCAAAGATCCTTGTGACCATTAATGCAAACTCTTGGAAGTCTGCCTTCTTGCGGAAATTATTGTGTACCAAGCACCAAATAAAAAAGTAAAATTGCGAACAGAAAATACCTGGTCAAAAAACAGTTGTGGTGACCGAAGTACTTTCTCTGCCATTCGTCCATGCATCTTTTTAGCTGACAACATCGCCGCCTCCATGAAGAGCAGAGCCCGGGTAAGTGACAAGGCAATAGCTCCCGCAGCAAAGCAGGCATAGGAGATAACATAGATTCTGGTGCTAAGTTGATACTTTCTATCAACCCAAACACTAAGCCAGTAGTCCAACATAACACGCACTGCTTGCGCGAACAGGAAAATAACTACCACCATGAAGATAAACACCCGTCTGCATACAACGGCAATATCAAAACGTTAAACCCTTAGTGACTTGCTTAATCTATCACGGCTTCACTTTCATGTCATATGTTCTGACCCCAACCGTGTACAGACAAAATTCTAAAAGCTGGATATTGTATACTTTAACCCCTCGCACTAAAATCATTTCAATGTCATGAAGTTTAATTAAATCTAAACTACAGTTAAAAATAAACAGCATATAGTGAAGAACCCTTACCCGCCACCATCTTTGGCGTACTGAATGTAAGTTGCCCAGGTCACCTCTCCCTCAGCTCTATCTTCTTTCACAGTAAGCTTTCCTCCTTTATCCCCGTCAATGTCACTCTCGACACCAGTTACCCTACCGCTCCTCCTTCGAAAAGATTTCCTGATGCTAGCTTCATCTTGTTTTCCATCAAAAACTCCCTCCTCACCAACCTCTTGAAAGACGGAAGCAACAATCTCAACATCATCAGAAACAGGCTCCTCACTGGGACCATTCTTAGAAACTCCATTCTCTGTTAATTCTTTACATTCCAAGCCATTCTGAAGGTGGCTCTGTGAACTTTCCGCTACCATCTCTGCTGAGGCTCCATTGAGCACGTCAACCTCAGGGCCATTCTCACCCCCAGATTCTTCACTAGAATCATCTCTTCCTAAACTCGCTCTGGTTTTATGATCGATATCACCGCCATTATCTTCAGTATCATTTAAAATGACTTCATCCAGTTGTCCGTCGAGCAATGCTTCCTTAGAAAGTTCTTGCAGTCGCTCATGCTCCAAAAGATAGATTTTGTCGCAACAAGAGAGTGACGTTTTGTTATGAGTTACCAAAATCACTGTCCTGCCCTTAAGTATCCCACATAACACGTGGTCCATCAGGTGCTTGGCAGTGGGAACGTCAACAGCCGCTAAGGGATCGTCCAGGAGAAGAAGAGGACTTGTGCTATAACATGCTCGAGCAAGACTTATTCGAGCATTCTGCCCTCCACTAAGGTTAACTCCTCGTTCACCCTAAAATAAATTAGCACAGACGAACCTCAATTATTTAATATGGAGTCAAACTTTTACAAGCTTTCTTGAGCTAATTTGTCTCTCCTCATCAACCCTGATTCCAACTGCAATCGCCCACCCAACTATTCTTTGCGCATCCACATAAGAATGAAAAATTAAATTAAATTGGAATCTAAAAAAATCCAACGCCTTACCCCATCTTAAGAGTATCAAAGTTCAACGCAAAAAACGGACCACTTACAATTTCTGTGTCATGCCCAGCAGGTAATTGTGCTATGTCATGATCCAATGCACATGCAGAAACTGTTTCCTTATATCGAAATTCATCAAACTTGTTACCAAAAAGTACGTTAGATCGAATTGTATCGTTGAGAATCCAAGGCTGCTGGGGTGCAAAAGCCGCTGGTCGATCAATTTGAGATTCCCCTGCCAAACACTGTTCACATATCATAACATCAAATCAGAATGGCTCTAATTTACACAAACCAAATGACAAAATTCTACTTTTGTTCGGATTTCTGAAGCAGGCCGAATTCCTCTTTCAGAATAAAATCAGAGATATCACATCCAAATCCCAATCTGCATACCTCTGTCACAATACAGGCTCAATGAACTCCACAACCATGACACCCAAGGACCCCTCGTACCTCCATTTCTCCAAGAAGAGCCAAAAGAAGAGAGCTCTTCCCGCTTCCGACGGCTCCAACAATTGCCACAAGGTCACCACGCTGAACCTCAAACGTGACTCCTTTTAAAGTATCAGCTTCTTCAAAGACTTTGTCTGAATCTTTGCCCCTTGGCACACGTGACAGAATGTGGAGACCGTTGTCCTTCTCCTGCTTTGTTTTCCGCCTCTTGGCCTTCTTACTTCTTTTGTCGTCACAAGTCTGCCAATCTTTGAGAGTCCATGAGAATACTCCATTGGAAACTGACACTGCTTTATCAGTCAGAACCTGCCCCTTCAACTGTCAGTTGAATAAAATATGAGAAACCCGTAGCTCCATCCAAAGTCCTCATTAGTGTGTGGGTCCATATCATCATAAAACTCTATGTTATAGAAGGGTTAGAAAGTCATTTCACAAACAAACAGGAATGCAGGGACACGCCAAGCATAGTTACCTTGTCTTGCTCATCAGGATTGGTAATTCCATGTCCGTTTGGTAGGTCAAGCAGCTGTTGGAAACGTTGCATTGCCACCATGGCTTCAGAAAGGTATTGCACTCCTGTTGAATTTAATTGGATCACAAAATTAATATAGAATAGGAAACCTGATGAACAGTCAGAAATGTAGTTGGTAGGTATCCCTGGAGTACTAAACACTTCAAACACAACTGTACTGTTGACCCACTTACGCCGCACCTACATTTACGCTCGCATAATAATGTTTTATCTTCAGATCTCAGGAAATGGGAACAATAAGAGATGAAAGAGGAGATACTAAGTTTACAACCTTCCACCTAGCCTACAAGCTTTATTAATATTACCTAAAGGTGCTATCGAGAACAACCGCACAAGAATGCTGAACAGCGCTAGGACGGTGAAAGCAAGACTAGGTGTCAATGCTGCCCCGCCGTGAACAGCAACAAATGTTCCAAAGGTTGCAAACGATGCCAATGGGATCACACCATCCTGTTCAAAATGACGTAAAATGAAACCTCAACCCAGCATTACAACCGTACTAAGGAAAAGCATATTCTATGTGCAAAACACGTCTACATGTATAACAAAGATATTTGAGATTATAAGTATCAGCATCTTTGGAGGAGCAAAGTTGATTGTTCGGCAGTGGCAGATACCGTCTGAATCAACTCGTAGCATCAAAGAAGAGGCAACATAACAAGCATTACCCTCAGAGTAGACGTCGAAGCTCGAAGAAAATTGGCTCTTTTGATCCAGTGCATTTCGGAGGATCTCAAATCTCCAATTCGCTTCAAGAATGCTGCAGTCCATCCATTGTATTTCACCACCCGAACTCCAGTCAAAACTTCATTCACAGAACGAACCCTGGAATCTGTGTAATCTATGGCTGAGCGCCGTAGCCATCCAACTCGTTGAGCCACTTTCACCTGATGAATCAATGGGCCTGTTCATGAGAAGATAGGTACAAGGGTGCAATGCATGGAAGTCAATGATGGATACTGAGGTTAAATTTTTCGATTTCACTACTCTTCTCTTCAAAAATTAAAAGATTTCACCGATGTTGTCAAACTGTGAGCTCCACAACAATTTTGAAGCGACAGCTCAAGAGATCAGTATTAACTAAGTGTAGTTAGGTCGAAAAGACATAACCAAACCACGCCATTATGCACTCAGATGTATTCAAATGATGGAAGTACAACATGGTCGTAGGATAAACCACTAGACTCAGCTTTTCAAGCCCATTTCAGGAACCTGGAAAGCCGTTAACCCAGTCGTGCAGGAAATGTTCAGAGCAAACTAAGAGCTAACAAAGAGAATAAAATGCCACCTGCAATGGTTGGGTGAGGAAGGTGACCATGACACCAGGAATGGCCGCAACTCCAGCTTCATAAATCACGAGACCACCCACCACAGCAACCTCCACCAAGGCGAACCAAACTGTACCACCAGAAAACGTGATACTTGTGAAATGACACATACAACACTCTTAGCTGCAGATGCAACTTACCCTCGCAACTTTTCAGACATCCTACTCCAAACTTAGTTCTCAACTATCATAAATCAGAACCTCTGTTACTAAGATTATATGGAATTAGAAAGGACCTCAATACATGCAATACATATAAAGGTACGCGAACTTGAATGAAAACATTTCATGAACGTACCGAAGTGGAAGAACGTGGCAGCGTCAAGTATCTTTTGGGTGTCATTCGTGACTAAATTCAACATGATCCCAGTGTTTGTGTTCGACAGCGACGCTAAACTCATTTCTTGGATCTACGAGGATTAAGAATATAAAATGTCAAAACATTTATGATTGCAAACAAATCGATACTCTTGTAAAGAGTTTAAGTTTTCAGAATTATGTATGTATGTATGTAATTTCAACTCACCAGTATTCATCCTCATATCCTCTCTGAAAACAACACTACAGTAAACATGTTTCGTATGAGGCGTGTTCTAAGTAGCAAAGGAAAATGAGGTGGATTAATTCCAACACCTTATTGAAAACAGCCATTGCCACAGTTGCACGCGCCTTCATCCCTGTTCTCTGTCCTATGGTGAAACATTGGTGCTGTGTGATGCTCTGCGTTGTCGAAGTAAGAAACATTCCAACCACCAATAGAGCCGCCCACCACCACTGAAGGCGCTCTGTGCCTTGTGCAATTTTGACTAACGCTTTCAAAATGTACACCTGCACAAGATGTCCATAACGAATCAAAATATGTGCATTCCGCACAGCCCACTGTAGTAGATCTTCAAGCTAGGATTCTACGAGAGAGTAACTCGCAAGGTCATATTAAATGGAACTCACCTGAAGTACAACAGCCAGCAACCATACTGGCTTGTAAAGACCGCCCAACATGAACTTATAACCCATGCTCTTGTACATCAGCTTCCACACAGACACGGGCGAACCATCGACATTCTTCTTCATCTTTTCGCCTTCCACCGCCTTCAACCAACTCCTCTCACAATAAACCGACGTCTCATCCGGCACTAGATCCCACAAATCCTCTGCCTGCTCATTAATGAATTTGAGTGTCAACTCACACAAGTGCATCGAATCATCGGTGCAATTACTTGCATGGTTCCTTTGTAGGGGTCCATTAATAATTCAAGGAATCTGGTGCAGAACTGTGAACAGAATCGAGCTACCGTACTACAAGAATCTCGACCGAGATGCTTCAGATTATTAAATTCGATGGATTAGAAATAAGGCAAACCTCCAGGGTTTTTTTGTTTCCGATGGTGATTAAGGGTTGCACCCACTGCCACGTGAGGAAGCTGAAAATTGACGCGTTCGACAAAGGACATGGCTTCCCTGTAGACATCCCTCCCGTTTCAAATTCCTGAACCTCTTCTTCTTTGGACATTTCAGTGTTACGTTTAGAGCCCTCAACTGAGACCATTTTTCGCAGCATTTGATGAACACTGACCTTCGAGATACTGTAATTTTCCCACACAATTACATTAGAAACATTAAGCAGGCCTCACGTTGCACACGACTGGCAGAACATTCGGCCCGAGAAGCGGCAGGCTTCAATACACCAAGGAAAAAAAACTCCAAGGGCCAACTGTGGAGTTCATCTGCAATCTCAAGGCTCTGAAAACCCTCGAAAAGCTAGAGTAAATTTTAAGAGAATTGCAATATACTCGAATCCACGAGAGCGCTTTTAATATACTTCTGATGAACCACTCCTAGTCTTGAGAGCAATCAGAAAGATAAGACCCTATCGCAACCTTACAGTTACATCTTCATGCAACGTGACGCCAGAGAACAGACATCGCTTCTTGACTTCGAATTGGTCGATTCAAACCAATTCTTACACTCCGACCAGCCAACTATCGACATCTGTTTCGATCACCGCATGCACACACGCAGACTCAACGGTCCTCGGTATTCATTGTTTTATCATCACGTTCCGCATGCAATAAGCATCCTTGCCCTCTTGAAATCACTTTGCAAGACATCACCACCGCCCGTTGAGCAGCAGCTCCAGTCCGCTAACTGACTCCATGACTCCAACAAGAATCAAGACTCATCCCGGCGGCGTACCTTTATCACATTCCCGGCAAACTCGCACACTAGGAACTCTTGCCATAAACAATCACCAGGCCTAAACGGAGGCACGGTGGGAAAATAAGAATCTCCACGAAATCGGTATCGTGAACCACCAGCTGCTCAATCAACCCACGAAGAATGCAAGACGGCAGCAGCAGCAGCAGCGACGCATAGGCACCATCCGATCCCCGTCATCGATGATCGCACGGTTTCAAACTTCCATTCCCTCCTACTCCTCCTCCTTCACTACGATACCTTCATGCTACGAGACACTATTATTTTAACTCCACAGCATGACCTCGCAAGCATCTTTTTCTCACCCCGAGAAAGCGAAAAGTACGGGCATCGATCTGTCTCAAGCGGAGGTCCGGCGCCACAGGTACTGGACAAGCACATTATGAGGAGCAGCGAACACGACAGCAATGCATCTGGACGGGCGAATTTCTTGTTTCGCTTCCGCTTCACTGGTGAGGAAAGTAGCGGCGAACCATTTCCAAAACAAGCGCTCTCCTTCAGATCCACAGCCCCTGCAGCAACACACGACGACGCAGCGAAACGCCAGCGAACCCGCCAGCCCAATTCGACGCCGCGGTCGAGGATAATAGTAAGCGCGGGGTCACGGCAATGCACCTGACGTGACGTGACGTCGGGTTGATGCCACCGTTTGGACGTCACCCTGGACCTACGCCCCCAGACGTGCCCCACGTGGAAGTGCCTCATTGGACGCTTTTCGACCGAGGAATCAGAAAATGGCCAGCGGTATCGTCGCCTAAAGCCGCAACCGTGGCAAAGATTCGTTTCGAAGGCCGTTTCTTGCACACCTAATCTTTGGTTTAATTTTAATTTTTGTATCAGTAGGAGGTAAAATTCCTTGCAATGATTACAGACTAGGGGTAGAATTCCCTGCATTTGTCGTTCCTAATGCTCTAAGGTCGGCGTTATTATATTTGGAAACTCATCCTCAATCAATATATATATATATCTCTCTCTCTCTCTATATATATATATATATATACACTCTGTCTTCATCGATAATTCAGAGATTCTGACTGCTTGACCCTTGACTAGATACTAATTTGGGGCTCGGCTACATTCGTACCCGCGTAGTCTCGATTCCCGTGGCATTCCCCCTCAGTCTATTGGACAAGCCATAGACACCGGGCTATCTTTGTTCCTAAAAATGTGTCGCTTAGTTTAGCTCGTACTAACAATGCAAGGAGGTCTAGAGCGTCAGAAGTTGGGACAAGCTTAGGTTTACAGTTTCAGTATGATTTCTAGCTTTTCCTGCTCTTAGATCTCTGCCTTCGTACCCAGGATGGAAGGATTTGCTTTGAAACCGCTTTTTAGATTAATCTGAAGCATATGCTACACTCTGTTCTGTGTCGAAAATGTGAGTGAATAAACAGCATTAGGAACATTGTGACACCTAAGAGCGAAGAATTTGTTGCACGTGATTTGGTGTTTATCCACCTAGATGAAATGATGGCCTCCCACATATTAGAGAGATTTAATCAGGAATATTTTCTTTCCTTGTCTTAGTTTCATTCTCCTTATTTAGAATTTATCAATCTATCGAAAACACAATTTCTTGAAAAAACTTGTATGCTGTTAAATTGTCCCTTTTTTTACACAAGATGGTCAAAAAGATATGTTATTAATAAAATTATAAAATAATTTAAGGATCTTGGATTTATTGTAGTATTTTTTTATATATAAAAATTACAACCTTAACAAATTTCTAAATGTTTCCACACTAAAAATAAAAATAAATATCATATTTTTTTTTCAAATTATTTATTACTTATTTGTTCCAATAGAAGAATTGCAATTACTTATCTATTATGAATTATTATATGTTGATTAATTGTGTTAAGGTAATAGAAAAAACAAAAAAAATAAATAAACCCATTTGAAATTAGATGTATTTCTTAAAGTCTAAATACTCTTGCAATTTTTTATTTTTAGCTTATATTGTCAATAATATTATAATATTTTACGAGAGCATATGAATAATCTTCTACTTCAAGAGACAATTGGTTGTTCTTTTGTAATTTTATAAATAAATTAGATAAAAAAAAGTATTGATATAAATGTTATAAGGACCTTGTAATGGATACATAAATTGTTTAGATAAATAGAAGTAAGTAGAAATAGGAAAAAATAGGTTAAGTGGATAATATCTTCCTTATATTGTCTTGAAGAAGTTTTTTAGGTGCAAATTAGGTATTTAGACTTTTATTGATATATCACAAACCTATTGAAACTTGTCATATAAGATTCACACTTTAAGGAAGTTGAGCTAGAAGCAAACTCCAACTTAATACTTAAACCACAAGGCTTGTGATATCTAAAAAGCTTCGACAAGACTTTCTTGATAGCTAATATTATTAGATACAAGAATGAAAACCATCATTAATCTTGTAAACACCTTTTTTGTATTCAACTCTTAATTTAAGTCTATCTTGGTTCTTTGAAATTAACAATAGTCATTTTAATATATTCCTATCTTGTATATGTTATTTTTTATGTCTACTTTATTTCTTATAGTGATACAAGAATACATTGTCTTTTTAAAGTCTTGTCATGATTTATATCATTGATAGGTCTAAGTCCATCTTAATATTATATTCTTATATTAAATGTACATACATTAAGTACTACATATGATTTTGTACAAATTTTAGGAATGCAACTAATCAAGAAGAATGTGGAATTCAATAATCTACTTATACATAAATTAATAATGTATACTATATGTAGACATTATAAAGAGTAGTTACAAAGAGAGCAAACAATATTTGTCTCCAATTAAATTTGTTATATAAATTTTTAAAGAGTATTAGATTATTGTAATAGAATATACATATATAAAATATGCATATTTAATAAAGTTTAAAAGTCTTTAAAAAATATATAAGAAATAATAAATGAATAAAAAATAACAAAAATGATTTTGATATATATAATAGAATATAAAAAGTTTCTTTATTAAAAAAATATTAAAAAAAAATGACAATTTTTTTTTATTCAAGTGTGACAAAACTTTTGCAGTTAAGAAAATATTAAAATTTATAACTACTAATACAATTAGATTGAACAATAGAAATAAGAAGACTAAGATTAGAATCCATAGATTTCTAAATATTTTTTCTTAATATTATATATATATATATATATATATATAATCAATTATAATAATATCTATTTATATGATAAAATACTAAATAACAAGGATATGAATCATAAAAAATCAAAATATGAATATATCATTGTATCACTCAAAAAGAGTAGATATTCATTTAAAGATAATATAATATTAAAACTAGAATGGCTATTGCCAAAGACAAGAAGCCTAAAGACTCTTAATATAAGACTACGAACAAAAAATAGATTGACAAGAGTAAAGAAGGCCTCACTCTTACTTCCGTATATACTATACAATTAGGAGCTACATGGCAACATTCTATAGGACCTCCAACACATATCCAACTTATAAGATACATTTGTAACTTGTAAGGTAAGTTTCCTACATGTCCACCACATTGCCAATTTATACCACAAATCACCAATATAAACAAAAATTTCCAACTTATTGGCCAAATTTTTAATTTACTAATCACCTATAAACATCTACAAAGTCAAATCCATATCTATGAAGCTTTTAAGAAGCTTTTTCTATATGATTTTATCAAATTTATTTACTTCTACTTATTTTTATCTAATTTATTTAATCTAGAAGATAAAATGTTTCAATCGAATTATTCTTAAATAAATAAATAAATGAATAAAAATTCAAATAGTTGAAAACACATGAAGACAATAATAAAATATCATTGATTATAAAACAAGAAAATTGTTAATGCTATATCTCTAATTAATTTCACTACACTCCACCTAACCTCCACACAATTTTAATTGACTCAAAAGCACAAATCTACGTTTAGAGCATAATTGAAAATTCAATATCTAATCCTAATATTGACCCAATAATAGTATAAATCAAATAATATTTTTTTTGTTATATATATGTATATTACCAAAATTTGAATTAAATAGTTTTTTAGGCAAATATTATGTTTAAAAATTATATAATTAAATAATTATTTTAAGAAATCATTTTTTAAAGCAATTTTTCTAAACGAATTAATGTAATTCATATGTTTGGTGAAAATAACATCTCATAAGCAACACTTGGGTGGCTTTCAAACTATGCACAGGACCCACCATTTTTAATGTTGTTTCTTATTTATTCAGTGCAAATGTTGCATACGAATTTCAATAGAAAACTATTTTCTAAAAAGCCAAACTTTTCATTTATCCATCTGCATAACTTGATGTACCTTACAATCAAAACAATGTATTACAAAAAGTAATATATTAAAATTATATATATGCACATAAAGATGTAGCTTTATAATGGTTCAAAGCATCTTGAGAAAAAAACCAAAAAAAGAATCTGCACAAAAAAACAATTCGACTTTATGCTTGCATGAATCTAAATAAATAAATAAATGAATAACAAAAAGCATGCATCTGGTTTTGTACCAGAGTTTTGAATTATGATATGAATTCAGATCCACTAAAATTTAGATTCAAGAGCAAGACTTTGACAAAAACTTTATTTTTGATACTGTTAGTATGAAGGTTACGGATAACTAAATAATTGAGCATAATTTTATCAAGTTTTGGTACATGTCCATAACACCATAGCTAACGAAGGTTTGAAATAAACAAACAAAAACTACAATATTATTATTTCAAACATATGTTTATTATAATTTGTATTTAAAATATTTATTTATTAGGATCCATTTTGGTTTCAAAATATCCCATAATTTATAGTTATTTATCTATTTATTTCAATTCAAAGAATGCAATCATAGCAAGGAAAGATTTTGACCCGCTACTTGAATGGTTAAATTGATAGAATGTTTACTAGAGAAAGAGAGAAAGAAAGACTGAGTTGTTAACACATCTCAAATTGATATTGCTACATTTCATGTGACCTCCACAAGACTTAAATTGACTAAATAGTGTGCTTCTATGCTTAGGGCGTAGTTTATAGCCCAATATTCATCCAAAATTAAAATCATAAAAAAAAAAAAAAACAAAAAAAAAAAAACAAAAAACAAAAAACAAAAAAAAACAAAACAAACAAACAAAACAAAATATATATATTTTTTTGAATAAAACAAGTTTTGAGGCGAATATAGATTTATATATATATATATATATATATATATGGAAAAATACACAACATATTATTTTATAAAATATTCATTGTCTCTCTCTCTCAACCACCACCCTTTCATAAAGCAAAGAATGAAAAAAATGTGTAAAAGAAAGAGGCATATTAATAAATAGTTGTCTACAAGGAGGTCACGTGGAATGTAACGTTAATTCTATCTATATATCTATTAATGACTGTAAGTGTGTGTATCTATACATATTAAAAAAAAAATTGTGTTATACTTGGAAAAGTTATATTTCGCCAATAATTGAGAATTGCAAAAGAGAGCAGCGAAGAACGACACACGTGTTCGTGGAACTGTTCCACGTCAGCCGCGTACCACGTCTGCTCCACGTAGGACCAAACAAGGACAAAGTAGGGCAGAATGGAAACTTCGTAGGAAGTCGGCGCGAGATGCGATTGAATCTTGCCGTGTCTTTGAGGGACCTTCCAATAGAGTTCCTCGAAATCGAAACATCAAATAGGTCTTGACTGCTGGGGATTGCTCCCACCTTGATAGCTTTGACTTTTTAAAGTCCTTTTTTGCTCCCCTTTAATACTTTCTTTCCTTTTCCAGGATCCCATGTGTGGATGGAGAAATAATGGTAATTTGTGTCTATTCTCAACATTTCCTGGTTGGTTGAATTCCATCTGTTGAATGGTGACCAAAAAAACAAAAAACAAAAACAAAAACAAAAAAAAGAGGAAAAAAGAAAAAGAAAAATTAAATATAATTTTGAAAACCACACAATGAAGAATAATACAAAGAATGAAATTTTGGAATGAAATTAAGACTTGAGAGAGAAAAAAAACAAAACAAAAAAAACAAAAAAAACAAAAAAAAAAAGACAAACTAATGGAATGTGACAAGTAGGGGATTTCATCAATAGATTAAGTGAAAGCACAAGGAAAGCAATCAAAACCAATATTAATAATAAGAAGATCAAAGTACCTTTCTGGCTCAATCAACTCACATTTTTATCTCTTTAAAAAAATCCACAATAGTAAGGGGATTTAGACAACTATCACCTCTCCAAATATCACCATTCAAACTTTATTACCCTCTTCAAGTTTTTGAAGTATCACTTGATATTTTGGTGATTTGGAAAAAGCAAGGCAGTTAAGGCATAGGGAAGACAATTAAGGCAAGCAAGAAAATTTGTGATATTTCACTGGCCCCTCTTTTGATATTTGGATTTCAAAATCATCCACTTCATAAGGTAAGTGAATTTGAAGTATCAAGTGGTATTTCAAAATATCATGTGATACTTTGAGATATCATCACAGGTGAAATATCACCCAAAAACCTTAAGATTGATCAGCTTAATAGGAGGTTTCAAACATGGCACTTTTGCAAAACCAAATAACTACAATTCAACACTTGATATTTTCAAGATTACTCAATATATCAAATCCAAAATATCACCATTCAAAATTTGTTATTCCTTGATATTGCCCCTGATTCAAGCTTTATTACCTGGTGATTTGGTGAAGTACCAACTTATATTTCAAAATATCACCCAAAAAGGCCATGTTTGAAACCCCTTAGTAGGATGGATTATTAAGTCACAATGCTCAGTTTGTCAAATTGACAGCCATATACAAGTATTCTGAGCTGTGATGGAACTCAACCTCTATATTTCTTCATCCACGATAGATTCTATTCTTTCACTATGTGCTCCGGTTTACATGCACATATAAGCACAACTTGTGCTTCACCGTAAGTGCTGATGCTGAAAAGGAAAAGAAAAAGGACTACAATCAAGTTGAAAGCTGCTAGAATCATGAAATATCCAGGAATTTAACCTACACCTGCAACAGAATGTTGGACAATCAAGGCTGATTTCAGTGAAGAAAACTGCTGGTGAATCCATTCAAGAACAGCTGTTTCAGCTCCTGTGACACGCCTCTCTGTGTCAAATTTCCTTCTCTCTTGTTCACTCTGAATTTCTTTGATATGTTGATGGACAACTTCAATCTGTCTCCGTGTACTTAGTACTTCATTTTCCAAACTTTTCCTGTCTTCCAAATGCTGCATTCCCATGGTCTAATTAGCCAAGTTCATTTGAACAAAATTCACTTGTATTACACACCTTCTTAAGATTCAAACAAATAAATACAATACAAATATGATCCAACTTCATAATGCCTTTTGTAGGAGGATTATCAGAGTGTGGGTAGCTGGAGTCAAAACTAGCTCTACCCTTGAAAGACTAGTATCTTTACTTGGTCAAATAATGGTATCATCCTTGGTACCTTAGCAACTTCATGTGCTAGGGCTTGGGCATGTTTCACACGCTCAGCTTCTAGTTTTGATTCCATTTCTCTTAGTTTGCTATCCCCTGCTTTTAACCTCTCTTGTAATTTTCGCTGTTGCCAAAATCAACTAGTTAAGTGCTAGAAAAAATAAAAATTTAAAAACTTGCAATTCTATCAAATCTGAAACCAACACACACGCTAATATTTGAGACTGAGGCAAATTGAGGTGCAGGGAGCTTCATCACTTGCAATTATTGTACAAATTTTTATTTTGTGTTAACAAACCTGTTCAGTGGTCATGGATATCATCTCTTCATCTAGCCCAGATTTGGCAGCCTCTAACTTGGTGATGGATGATGTCAAGTGCGATATTTGGTTTTCATACTCCTCTACAGATGACGCATGCTTCTGCAGGCATGATATGAAAACAATTAATTTTAGTATTTGAGGTATAAAAGGTGAAAAATATATTTGAATACTATGGATAGGCTGAATTATTTCATAGCAATGTTAAGAAAATATTATGATACCTTTTTCACTTTTTGTTGTGTATGATTGTTGGCCTCAAGTTGATTCTTAAGTGTGGCCAATTCCACTTTTAATATATTTGTTTTCCCATCAAATACTTTCTGAGCAGCTTCCTGTATCCAAATCCATTTGACACAGCCTTCATCCCAGCAGTGGTGACCTAATGCTATCATGTACTTGGTGGCGAGAAAAACTTGAGAAACGTTAAGTCACGTAAATTATCTTCCTGATATTCTGGAATCTTGAAGAGTTCACCAACTTATTTAAAAGAGCAACAATAGAAACGTGTTGCAAATAAAATGGGGAGAAACGAGATGCTCTACTATTCAATTATTGCGAAACTTGCCAAATAATCTGTTAGCACCTTATCTTGCAGAATAAAACTGAAACAAAAAACATCAGACCAACTTCAGATACCCTCTGCAACAGATGGTAAATCACATTGCAATAGCAAACCTTTTCATTTTGGAAGTATTTTTCTTTAGCTGCCAATTGAGTCTCAAGTTGCATTACAGCAGCATTCAGTCTCTCACTTTCCTGAAATCAATTTCAAAAGAAGGCCTTGTTAGTAATCGTATCTTAAAGAAAAAAGGAAAAAGAAAAAAAATCCATATTTAGAGTTAAGAAATTGGCATGCTATAAGAACCTTGTAACATTTGAAATACTACTAATGTAATCCAAAGTTACTTAACAATTGCATTGTTTTATCTATCGACTCTACAGTGAACCATACAAAATTGTAAATTGTTGGACACCCATCATATGCTGGACCACTGAATATCTTAATTAGTAATATCAGGAAATCGATTCAACTTACCCGAATAGCATTCTCTCTTGCAATTTCAAGTTTTTTAATCTGTGCACTGAGTTTGGCGCTTACAGACTCCATCTCTTCATTGTGCTTCACCTCCCGTTGAGCCATATCTGCTTCTAGCCTTTTTATTATTGATATCTTGTAGTCTATGTCAGTCTTGGCTCTTTCTACATGCCCAGATCACTAGAGGGATTAGGTTCGTGGTTTAAGACAACCCCACAAAATCAATTGAGACAAGTGTGATTTAAACCATAGCAAGCTTTTATATTAAGTATGTAAACTTTATTGTAAGTAAATCTAGCAAAGTACACAACGCAGAAGTATGGGCTTTGGGCCACAAGAAGTTGAAATTGAACCTTGTGTTGCCTCCATACGGGCTTTACTTTCTGCTTGAATCCTTGCAATCTATCCCATCCAAAACATATTTCCACTTCAATCAGATACAAAATCTGACTGAAATTTCAAAATAAATCAAAACAACAACAGCAAAAGAATTAAAAGAATTAATCAACTAAATATACCAAGAACAGACACCTGATCCTTAAGGTGCTTGTTTTCTCTTCTAGCCTCTGCTTCAGCAATTTGAGCTTGATGTCCCTTTTCTCTTGCTTCCATAATCTCTGACTGCATCAGCCAAATTCACAACCCTCTCTCCATTGACTTTCAAGAACACATAATCAATTCAAAACAAACAGGTTGACATTCTCACAAATCTAGACGATGTCTTCATTGCACTACTGATCATATCAGCAGTCTTTAACGGATAAGATACAGCAATTGGAACTTGGAAACACTTTTTGTAAATAAATTTGAGCGTACATTAAGTGCTGATGATTTCATAGCAACCATTTGCTCATTTCGCGTCAACTTCTCCTCAATGTCGTGAACTTGCTACCATTTCAAAAAATTGTGCAAACGGTTAGTCATAAAATTTCAAATTGAGGTAGGAATACAAGGACACAATCAGGGTAGCAGAATACTTGCAAAAAGCTTCAAAGAAAGACCTGTTTGGACAAGCTAATTTGTGAGTTCAAGTCCTCAGCCTCTTTCTCAATGAATTTCCGCAACAAGTTTTCTTCCTTCAGTTCAACTCGCACAGTCTGATACCAAAGCCACAGTAGTTATCAAGCTCAATATCAATTATAAATTCTTCCACGAACTCAAAGATTTCGTAGACAGTGATGAAGTTTGGCTTTGAAACTTTAAATATAGCCTTCAAACTTGGAAAAAGATTGTCCCAACTATTATAAACACATGATCAAATCCAAAATTGTCGCATGGTTGTGATAACGTGCCTCAAGTTGTGTATCCGTTGCAACTTTTTGCAGTTGAGTCTCATATAATTCTGTTCTGCAAGCTTCCTATAAGATCCGATTCCATTGGTGAGTTGAAGTTCTAAAGTCATACAAATCCAAACCATAGACATTCATACAGCTTATATATTCACAAAACCAATCCATCGGCATTCTACACAAAACAAAGAGACAAGAAAATCAGACAAAGGTTGCGATACGAGAGGACTGAAATGATGGCAAAAGAGGAATCAACTTGCCATTTCGTGACGGAGACCATCAAGCTCTTTCTGAAGGGAAGCGATGCGCTCTAAATTAATGTCACTCATCTCCTTTGGAATGGCTCTGGAGTTCTGTGTACACGTCAGAAAATGAATGTTCTATTGAATTTGTGACGGTAAAAACGTGAATGCTACGACAAAGTAAAACCTGAATACAACCGTATTTATGTCCAGAATGTCGATAAAAACACGAGTTTCTTACAAGTCCAGTCTCAGTTTCTGGGTACATACGATTCTCCGACGCAGGGCCAACAGGTGCGGGTCCTTGCAAGAGCTTACAAGTGCGATTCTTCTCCAGCAGATCATCAATCTGCGCTTGTATGGAAGGAGGAATGCCGTTGCCAACGAGCCGAACATCCACAAGGCTATGATTTCGTTGCAGCATTGCCATTATGGCCGCGGCACCACTAGGTCCAATCTCGTTCCATCGCAAATCTTCAGTTACCACAAAATTACAGCATTGACAAGACGAAAGAAATCCTTATTTCAAAAAGAACAATTATATGTCACTAACTGTGCAAGGATACACAAAAGGTAGTTTTACTGTGGCTTGGAACTGAATGGCAAGCGGAAGGAGCGATAACAGATCAATTTTTACAGGAGTTTAACGGAACCTTGAAAATCATTAGGTACCGAGGCATGTGAGGGTTAAGTTGCTTTGAAGTGCATGCGCCAACGCTGCTGCTGTTGAAGGACCTATTCGATTGCTTCGAAGGTCTACCTGTTAAGACAACTAACATTTCATCAACAGCAAAATCAACGCTTCATGAAATAATAAAGCAATTGCACATGCGAAGACCTTGGCACGTTGGATGGGAATGACTTGAGGATTCAACCAAGAACTGCACCTCCTTGAGAGAACGATTTGAAGCTAACGCTGAAGTGAAAGCTGCTATCCCCGTTCGGGCCAATCCCAAGCTATTCCACTCCAACGACAATCTGCACTTAGAAATAGAAAGAAGAGTGAATTTTACATTAATTGCCCATAGATGACCAAAGACTAACTCATGTTTGGAGAAATACCACCATGTATGTTCCTTCAACAGAAAAGGAGTAATTATTACTAAGTTTAAATGAAGCAGCAACCTGTTGAGGGATGTGGAACTACGAACAATTTCAGCGAGATGATCTCCATTGTATATGTTGCAACCTGCAGTACCAAAACCATTCGAAAAGAAAAAAAAAAAAAAAAAAAAAAAAAAAACCTCGAGTTACGTAGTGTTCGTATCTCATTTGGGTTTTAAGAAACAGAATTCAGAGCAAGTCCGGCTTCGAACCAAAGTAAACGAAGTTCCTAATGCTCAACGTACCACTTAGGTCAAGCTCTACGAGTTTTTCGTTATTCTTTATAACACGCAGCAAAGATTCGCAACCTGCATAGCAAGTGAGTCATGATCATCTCTTGCCCATAAATTAATCCAAACTTTGCAGAAATTTAAGACTCTCCTACATAACCCAAATTCAGAAGTGGTGATCTTGCAGACGACATACGCACCGTCCTCGTTGAACGACTTGTGACAAAGTTTGAGAACGCCCCCTTGTTTCGAATCCATCTCCCAGACAGGGTTCTCCCTCAGTATGTCTTGGTGCAACGACGCCGGCAAAGTGGCGCCCCGTTTAAACCGCCGCGCATCATAATCCAGGCTCTGAAGTGCATTGCATCGATCCCTCCGCTCCTGCATCCTCTCATTCACGCCCATCATGACCCCGCGGTCCTGCACTCTCTTCCCTCGATGGGAGGTATTCCACGCTTGATATGGGGGCAAGAAATTTTTGGTATCAATCAACCTCATCTTGTTCAAGGTCGACGGAAGCATCAGGTTCGGTTGGCAGAACGATCCGTAGTCCTTCCTCTCATGCATCAAACTCCCTTGCGTCTCCCACATCAACGCCCTATCTCTGGTGCGTTCCAGTTCGTCACGATCGAGGGCACGATCAGTTCCAGCGTTGGCATTGATGTTAACCATCTCGTGTTTGAAATCCTCACATTTCGTGTCTCGATTAAGTGCAAACACTCCATCTTTGCCCGGCGGCGCCTTCCCCTTGATTTCGATCACGACTGACTTTCTGACTCTTTCCAGAGCGCTATTGGTCTGGTGAGCTTGTGTGGCGGCGAATTCCATCAGTTCCGTCTCGTGTTTGGCTTTGCTATGGGAGAAACCGCCACTGGGCTCTGGAGGCTTGCGTTGGTCTACCACAACGTGTGCATCTTTTTCACCTGCAGGAGCCGATGATTCTTCCGAGTCGTCGGAGCTTTGAACCTGCTTCAAGAGATTTCGCGAGGACGCCATGGTGGGATCCGATTTCCAGATAAGGCGCTGGAACGATGCTTGAGAGCCTGATGATGATGAAGAAACACTGCGGCCGTGTACAGGGTCGCTGTGCATGGGTCGTATTCTCACCGTCAGTCAGTCCATGCTTAATGGTGTCATACAAATATGTGGCAGATCATGTGGCAAATTCAAATAACCGAATTCATTTCACGTTCTGGACACACCTCATTATACTCATATTTGGAGAAGACGATATATTGAGATAGTTGAACTGCAGTTTTCCTGAGTACTTTTCGATGCAAAGTGCATTCAATTGCAATTATTAAAGTAATCAACAAAATGGTAGCACGTGTTGACTGGAAACGCACGATATTTTTATAGTCATGAAACAAACACCATTGAGTTGAAAGACCCCAACCAAAGCAGATAAGAACAATGGGATGGCGCAGTAACATGACATGGTTGAATTATAGCCGAATTAATACACAACTCAATACGGTACATCAAGGGCTCGAATCACTACATCTGGAGAAGAATTTCATGACGGTACAAGTACATCCAAAGCTTCGGGCTGCCACTGTCACTAAGTTCATTCTAACGGTTTAGTCGGTGTGCTTCCCACCGACGTTGCGCCAGTGCTCTCATCGACATTTGCACTTGCAGAACTCTGAGATTGCTCTTCGATTGAAGTCTCTGCAACAGGCTTGACAGGGGGAGAGCCTTCCCAAGCAGCAGCTTCAGAGGCTGAAAACAAGTTTAATTTCAAAGTAAGAAACTGTTCAAAACAAAGCAGCTCGAGTTAAAGTTGAACAGAGTGCAGTAGTTTAGTTTAAAAGGTTCCGCTCCAAATTGAACAAATATTACAACAAAGTACCCTCACGAGCTCATGAAATACAGTAGGACATGGTAATACATGGCACTGATAAGTGGAATGCACCTTTGCGCATTTCCTCTAAAACAAGAGACTGGGTTTGCTCCTCCGTAAGCCTCATATAATCGTCCGTTGTGTAAGGCTTAGGTTGAACTGGGGCCTCCTCTGCAAACAAAATCCAGAAGAAACACACTCTCAATATGGAATATATTTAACAAGAGTAGCAGGTCCTAGTTAATAGATAAAGGTGCAAGAAAGATATTAGTAAAGGTGTATCTCGCCTCCAGACGGGCTACTGTAAAAAAAAAACAGGTGATCAAGCCTGTAGAGTCGCAGAGGTTAATGGTAATGATTCCCTTAAAGTGCCGCACCTGACTTGGGTGCCACTGCAGGTGCTTCAGTCGCAGCAATGGTGGAGGGTGTTGATGAAACTGAAGAAGCCGACGTTGATGAAGGTGGACGCGAAGGAGATGAAGTTGGTGGAGAATCGTAGGAGGTGTTACGCAACTCATCTAGACCTATCTCTTGCTCCAAAGTAGCCTTAAACTCCCTGGAAACTTCCTGTCACAGTCGACCTAGCTTCTCAGCTAGAGAACGCTAACTAATCGATAAAAGACACAATCCAATTTCACACAGAAAAGACACAACTACAAGTAATCAGAGAGGTACCAATTCTAGAGCAATCCTAAATCGCTGGAAAAAGCAATTGCAAACACACCAGGATCTACTTCACTAGCTTTCTGTTACCAAGACTCTCAGAGAGTCTGAACATAGTAGTGTTGATACTCTTGAAGTGAACAAGTTACATGAGCAAAAGGTGGCTTGCGTAAATTGTTGAAGTATCCATAAACAACAATTTGGTACCTGGAGCTCCTTTATTGCCGGTTGGAATCCCCGCAACGTCTTGCCCAAGGTGCGTGCAACCTGCACCCGCACCGCCATTCGGTCCATTTTCAAGATAAATAAAGAAGAGGCTGCTATAGAAGGAGGACCGATCTAGCATTATTTCATAGGGCTTTCACATTCAATGTGCAATAGAACCAATATAAGGATTGACGAATTGTGGAACTCCTTCAGAGACTGCAGCCGAAAAAGTTAACATGTTCACCACTACAAGGCATAGGCTTTCAACTATATGTGCGCAAGCTAGCAATTGTGCACCCACATTCTGATCACAGTGCGTAGTAATTGAGGAAGGAAGAGGAGGAGGAGGAGACAGAAAATAAACACTAGTGCAAACCGCGTCAATACCTCTGCAAGTCCTTTAGGACCGAACACGAGCAATGCCACAACACCAATCACCAAAGCTTCCGGCGCGCCAACTCCCAGTAAGGACGCTTGAACTCCAGTGTTTTTGGTTCCCTTCCCGGCTTTGTCTGATTCCAAAATCGATAACAAATGGGCCAATTCCCTCCATAAAAACTTTCAGCCGTAAATGCTAATACATAAAAGTATGCAAACTACCAATTCGAACCCAGCTCCTTGTTCACACGAATTACGTCCTGCACTCCAACCCACACAACGAAAAGCCACCGACGAGATTTCGAGCATAAAACCTAGGAGCGGTCGGGATATTTAGGGCCGGTGAAGAAAACTTCCTAAAATCTGCCACATACCATGAGTTTCTCAAGCCCAACCGAAAACGACCAGCAGAAACATGAACGCATGATGGATTAGCTATCCGGATTACTCTAACTTGAGACGCACCTGATGGACATGTGACGACCAGAAACAGGCGGCCTTGGAAAGACGACGAGGCCGCGCTAAACGAGCTAGCCTTCAGTAACGCCCCACATGACACCTTCCCACCGAATTGCTTGAGGTTCTTCCGACGCACCCCAGCACGCAAGCACAGAGCAGACCCAGATCTCACGCTACAAGACGGCTCTCGACTGCGAGAAAAACCAACCGCAGGTAAGAAGGAGGCTGCCTTCGCCACGACGGCCATGGCGCAACACTGCAGGAGGGTTCCTTGCACTCACTCGCTCACTCACTCACCCACCCACCCACCACACTCCACTCCACTCCAAAATGCCAATGAGATATAGATTCACAACTCACTCACTCACTCACTCACTCACTCAGCCAGTAGTCAGTCAGCCAGTCGTGGTTGAAACCCAAAATCTATGAGCCCGGAGTGCGAAATCCGAGCTGCCTGCCTGGTGGACACGGGAGTGAGTGAGGAAGAAGAAGACGACGACGAAGAGGAGGAGGAGCGGAGCCCCCAAGACGAGAGAGGGGCATTCGTTCAAAAGCCCCACCTTGGGGATGGGTGGGGGGATAGGAGCACACGGCGGTAGCCAATGACACCGCAATCCCTGCCTTTTCCTTTCGTTTCGTTTCCTTTCGCTCTTCTGAGACCCATTGAAAGGAAAAAATCTTCTCCTCTTCCTCCTCCAGGTACTCTCACTAGTACTCCACCTGCATCGTCCCCATTTGCCGTGACTGACCACTTTTCATTCATTTTTTTGTATGTGTATATATATATATATATATCTTACGTGGGGTCTTACTTTGCTTCTTCTTCTTCTTCCTCCACTTGACATTCTTGCAACATTAGTGACATTATTGTAATATTAGTGAGTGAATATTTATGTTTTGGAAGGAGGAGGAGGTGAGAAGGGTGTAACTTTAAATCTTTTCGGTTGGTTGACATTGAGAAGCTTTTAGATTTTAACTGATGAAAGGGTTGAAAAATTATGTTTTTTTTTTTTTTTTTTTTTTTTTTTGCATGTAGAGACTTCCTTTGTCATTGTAGTCACTCTATAATGGTATGTAGTGATTTTAAACTGCCAAAAACTAATTGGTGTGTAGTATGACAGGTTATTATAAATTGTCAATTTTTTATTATAAGTTTTTGTTTATGAAGTTAATAAATTATAATACATGTACAGTATTTAAAATAATAAATAAATGTTTAAATTTTTGTTGAAGGCTTGTTTTCAGTCTTAAGTATTTATTTAGTATATCAAATTAGAAAAAAATAATAATAAATAAAATAAAATAACATAACAAAAACATAACAAAAAAATAAAAATAAAATGATAACTACTACGTGGACACCTCTCTCCTTCCATGTCATACCAACAATTTATCACTAGTATATAAGATTTTTTAACAAGCAGGATATTGACAAGATTATTATACATATCAATAAATAAATAAATAAAACAAAAAACATCAATTTACAACATAAGAACATTAGCAGTCTAGTTTATATATTGATGATGTTCTTATGTTGTGAATTTCTATCATTATTTCTTTTCTTTTTTTTTCTTTTTTTTTTTCATATACCTTTTAGCGTCATTAGTGTTAGGTTTGTTGAAAAACTTGTAGCAATAGTGTATTATTGGTGTGGCACAAAGATGTATCCATGTAGTCAAAGAAGGATGTCCACATAATAAAAAGACAGTGTCCATCTTGTGGTTCCCAAAAAAAACCATTAAAAATTCGAGATGTTTAAAAGTATGTAATTTTCTTGGTATTAAATAATATTGAGATATGAAATATAAATTTTAGTATCTTTCGAATGTCTAGACAAAAATTGATTAATTAAAAAATTCTAATTTTAATTTTAAAAAACATTATATATTTTTTTTGTTAAAATTTGATAAAAAAAACAATCAATACTACTTTAAAAGAACATAAGACAAGTTATAAAAACTTTCTTTTACATATATTGTACCATTTTAGAATACCTTAAAAAGATGTTTTAAAAACTTAATAAAAAAACATTCTTGCCATATCATATATAATCTTAGATTTTAAAATTATGTAAAATAACATATTTGAAAAATATTTTAGAAAAGTATTATTATTGTCTTAGTAATAATAAAAAAATATTATAAATAATAATTATAATTAATATTAGAAAATATTATTATAAGATTTTTTAGTAAATTTATCTTTGACTTATTATTTAGCATTTTTTATTTACTTTTTATCTATTTGTTTTTATATTGAGTGTACAAATTACTTGAATAAAACCTAATTTTATTTAACATTGAGATTTTTTATAATTTAAGTAATAAGCTAATACTTCCATACAAAAATACTTAAGAAATATTTTTAAAAAATATTTTCTTTTAAATACAAAAAGAAATCACAATAATGTACAATAATATAAGAAAGTTTATTAGTTACAAATTGAATAAGATTCAAGACAAGTATGTACAAAAGTATGAATAATCATAGCCATGATTTTATATCTATATATGTATATAAAAATGCATACAATTATATAAATTCATTTTTTTTAGAATCTAAATTTAAAACATGATTATATATATATATATATATACATGTGTGTGTGTGTGTGTGTGTTATTGTTTGAATAATTAAAATAATAATAAGTTAAATATAATATCTTTAAAAATTGATATTGATATTTTATAATAAATTTATATATATATATATATATATATATTTCTACTAGAAACTTGTGTTGTTGACTACAAAAAAGATCAAATATTTGAAATGTAAAATATAATTTCAGGTAATAGTTGTGAAAGGCAGCGCTGCTTTTCATAGCCTTGGTTGGAAGCTTTCAAACTCTATACCTAGTGATCTTATTGTGCTACCTTGGCAATTTGTAATAACAACGTATAGATTTTGATCTTTGATTGATCAAAAGTTGAGTTACTGCTTCATCTTTGCTTCACCTTTGATAAAAACAATAAGATACGTAGCTAATTATAGATGGTTTTTTTTATCTCTTTTGGTTTATCTCCCTGAGTTGTTTTGTATAAGAGATTCCATTACACATGTATTAAGTAATGATATGTGCAAATCACAAAATTATAAATACTTTAAGATTTTTTAAATATTAATAACAACTTAAAAAGAAAAAGAAAAAGAAATGCAAAAGGATTACACAAAGAAGATTATAACATTCTTTAGCAATGAAATCAATGTATAAAAAAAATGTGCTAAGATTTATAAGTTTTAAAATAATGTTAAAAATGTTATAATTGTATATGCATCTATCTCTTTACACACACACACACACAAGTAAAGACATATTATAGAATTTCAATCCTCTCACAACTCTCAAATTATGCCATTAAAAGTACTTCTCAATGCATTCTTTATTTACTGGATTATACAATGATTCATCAATCTCATCAATAATTTAGGACCCATTCTAGTTTCTGATAAATTATCTGTTAAAATACAGTACAAGATCATTTTTGGTATTTTATGTTATTATCCATTTTTCTTTCAAAATGTGTGTGAAGGTTTTCCAAGGTCCCATTTTTGTCATTTGAGGGTGAGTGATGTTCCCACAACACGTTCTTTATGGTAAATCCTCACTCCTCCATTGAAAACTCCCCGATTAAATACCTCTCAAAATCTTGAAACGGATCATACATGTACGATTAAGAAACAACAAACAGGCAAAAAGATGAATTAATTGGCAGCCATCATGCTCAACATTCACGCATGTCCAACAATGTCCAACAAGCACGCATGCCATGCCGAATGTCCCTCCCTCCACGAATGAGAGCATGCCCCGTCGCCTCTCTGTCTATTCATGCCTCGACGATCGTCGCTCTCACTAACGACGTCGACGATTCGTGCAGCGATATCGACGACGACGACCTCTACGACGACCTCTACCACGAGAACGATTATAACGACGACCTCTACAACGAGAACGATTATAACGACGACCTCTACAACGAGAACGATTATAACGACGACCACTGCAACGACAGCGACGACGATGATGATCCTGGTGACGATAACGATAACGACGACAACGAAGAATAAGGAGGAGGAGGAGAATCGGGAGGCGCGGCAATGAAATCCAGGATTGCCGTGAGGCAGAGGAGGAGCCATAGAAATTGGGGTTGGGGTTGGGGTTGGAGGAGAAGAGGACCAGCAAGCAAGCTTATTCCATTCCATTCATTCCCATTCCGTTCCGTTCCGTTCATTGAGGATGTGTGTCTCTAGAGCCCTGTAGTAGCCCAATCGAGGTGGAGAGGTGTCCAGCAGAGAAATTTGTGACTTTCCTCTGCCACTCATCGCCATTCCTCTCTCCCTGCCTTCCTCCCTGCTTATCGTCGTCGCCGGAGGAGGCTTAGCTCTCAGCGATGGAGACATCGCTCCGCTACAGCAAGGAGGAGAAGCAGCTGGTCTTGCACGCCAAGGAGAACTTCCTCTTGGACAAATCCTTCTTTCTGCAGGTGGGTGGGCCTCTCTTGTCGATGCGACGTCGCTGTTTCCATGTTTGTGTCCCATTGTGTGCGTGTTCTTTTGGTGAGAATTACGTGTGATTATTTATTTATTTATTTATTCTTTCTTTCTTTCTTCTGGGACTTTGTGACTTAAGTTTTTGGCTTAGGGTGGTTCATCGTGGATTCTCCGCCTGAGTGAGTGAGGTTTGCGTTCCACTTAGAGCGCCCCCTTCTTCTCTTGCTGTGAATTGGGTTTTGAGGTGCTGCCGAGGGGTGGGTACCTCGTGTGAGGATTGTATTTGCATTGGGGCAAGGGATTTTGTTTGCTCTTAACATAAGGTTTCAGCTTTGAGACTGTGGCTGGCTTTGATCAAGGGTTCGAAGTTGTAATGGATATGTCGAATATAGCTATTGTTCAGGTGGAATTTTCTGTTCTTTTTCTCTTTTCGAATCAGGTTTAAGGGTGCATCGTAGTTTTTGAAGTCTTTTAAGTCCTATTCTTGGACTGCTTCGTATTCAAGTTGAGTTCAGCTGTTTTAACTTTGCACGGCATATTTTTTTTTGTTTTTTTTTAGTTTTTGTTTTTACAAATCCGATTTCCTTATCTCATTTAAATCTCACGTTTGATGATTTGAAACAATTTTTACTTTATTTCAGTTTACTGTGTATCGTTTTTTTGTTAAGCATGCAATATAGGTTACTCGAGCAATCATTTTGTCTGTCGAATCACAAATTTCAGTTCTCTGAATGTTGAATGCATTGGTTATTACGACCGAATTGGGATAACTAACATAGGCAGTGATCTTAAGCTTGTGATGCTTAGTCTTGTAAGTATGTAGACTGGCACATTGCGATCCCATCTGCTTTTAAAACTAACCCTGTATTGAAGTTCAATTTAAAGCGTTTGGTTTTGGTTTTAGGATTTCGAAGTTCTTTTGTGGTGGTAATTTTTGCAAGCAATATGATCCGCCGAAGCAACGTTGGAAGTCGTCTGAAGGTTAAGTACAAGTTCATCAAGCCTTTATTTGATAAAGACCTGGTCCAATGGTATCTTCTACCCTTCTGATCGCAGGTACATGGAAAGCTCAACACTCATACTGGAAATGCACATGGAGTTGCTCAGTTGAAGCGCAAATTTTTTCCTGAGGTATGCGATTTACTATTTGTTGCCACGTCAGAGATCTAAAGGTTCCTTTGGTTTAATTTGCGTTATAATCATCACGGTAATTGCAGTTCGATGTTCATATGAATAATTTGCTTACCTCTAATCTTTGTCACTCTCTGTGGCTGGCTATTCTGCAGCTGTTGACGAGTTTAGATGTAGGGGCTAAGTTCGATTCGCAGCTCAAAGAATTCACCTATGACGTTCAAGGGAAGAAGACCCTGCCTGTCACAGATAATGGCCTGCTGAGCGTGGACATTAAAGGCGGTTATAATTATAACCCAGGCACTAAGAAGGTCGGAAGTTAATTTTTTACTTGAAGTGGTAGTGTTGCGAGAAAGAAACACGAATAATGTGCTTGTATCGTGGAACTTCGGATGCCCATTATCTAGTAGTTATTTTTTGAGGCGTCATTGAGTTTGAGATAATTAGTTACTGCCCAGATTGTTAAACCTTCAATTCACTTTTTTGCGAGTTGTTGTTTTCTTTTAATTTAAAATCTGACTGAATGTGAATCTGACGAGAGGGATATATGCTGGATGAGCAGGGAAAGCCAAGGGGTGTAGTAGAGCTCAGCTACAAGGTTTTTAATTTTACAGAAGATCAAGACTTAAAGTTGAAGGTTGGTTACAATGCCGTCAAACAGGTTGGTACTGTAACATGTCATGATTTGCTCGTATTTCAATTCTGTCCTCCAGACCATGATTGGTATCAGAAATGCTTCTTTCTCTGTTATTCTCTTTTTGTCAGGTAACTGTCGGTCAAGAGTTCGTGCACAGGAGAGCTGGTATCATAAATTGACGATTTGGTTGTCGATTGTTTGAACAGACACCGTACGTCCAGATAAGGGAAAACAACTGGACGTTGAACCATGAGTTCAACGGCGGCTGGAACGTAATATACGATTTGTGATTCATACGAGTCAGACATTAATGAGTAGGCTACGTATCCCTGGCATCAGGAATTGTATTCAGCGTTACATTAAAGTGAAATTTTTTGCCACTTGGAAAGCCTTCAACCACATTGCAACTGTCCCCAGTTTAGCTTTGTCACTTGGCTTCTTTGAAACGATTTCGTTTTAAGAGCGTGGTCTGCAACATATGATCAAGGATTATTGAACATCCTTTTCACCGCACTTTTTGACTCTATTTAGCAGAAGTTTTTCGGAATTCTAAATAGAATTGTTCAGGCGTTTGCTAAGATTGACAAACGTCTCATAGAAACTTGTGGTGGGTTCTCAAAAAATCTCAAAGATAATGTGAGACCTGCTTGTGTTGGATGTCTGAACGAGTTGCCATTTGAATCCTTAGTTTTCATCCTACTGGAACCGTTCCAGTAAATCCTCGTCTTGTGGAATACATCTGCAAGAGTACGTGACTTTGCGGAGTGGCCTCGTCCCATTTTCGTCCCATTTTCGTCCCATTTGAAAGATCCCTTAGAGTTGCTGGGAGTACTACATCTTCCTTACTATATTCTCTCCCCCCACCTTGACCTGAAATAGGCATGGTGTCTGGTAGCTAGTTTTTTTCCAGGTGCTGGTCGTCAACTTGGCTGCGCATGGTATCGTACCAAACTGTGGAACCGTAGTGTGGTTAGTGGACTGAAAATAATTATGAATACCTATCCCATCCAATCTCTCTCGATCGTCGCCTTAATTTCCGAGGACGAGGTGTCATGGCTGACGACGACGTGAAGTTTAGCGAATTGAAGTCCTTGATTCTATGTGTGAATTTAGAAGCGTAGGTAGCAAAGGCAAACACGCTTTGCTTTAATTATAGAAACTAGATCTGCATCTGTCAGCGGATGGTGTGCCCCTGAAAGTCTAAAGGGTATGGCCCTTTCACAAGATCTACAGAGATGTCTGATGTGTGAGTCTAAGATGTTCATGAATCGTGTGGCCGTTGCCCTCACGGTGCACGGAGATAACTTTTCTATCGGCATGTGCCGATTGTTTGCAATAGAGTTTTGCGAGAGCAAGTGTTCCAGGCTGAGATCCGTGATTTTGTCGACGTACTTTTCGATCAGAAAACAGACAGGTACGCGTTTGTGACGAAGTTCGCCCCTTCAGTGATGTTGAGAAGAAAGAGAGTTGGTCGAGATTAGTTCACGCAGAGTGTTGCATGTGAGAACCGGTAAAGCAGGAGTGATGGTGAGCAAGGCCAAGCAACAGCTGCAGCAGCTCTCGGAGCTGCACTGGGCTGTGAGGTGCAACGATGAAGGGGCGTTAAGATATCTTCTGAGGCAAGACAGGAACCTCGTGAATGCTGCGGACTATGACAAACGCACTCCGTTGCACATCGCTGCTACACATGATTGCGTGTCTGTGGCCAAAGTCCTGATTGCAGAAGGAGCAGCGGTGAATGTCATGGATAGGTGGGGCAACTCGCCTAGAGGGGAGGCTGAGAGTGCAGGGTACTTGGAGATGGTGAAGCTGCTTAATGATTGTGGGGCTGAAGCGCACGCCTTGAGTCCGCGATACCACTCAGAAAGCTTGATCCAGGTCGCCCCTCCCTTGCCATCAAATCTCGACTGGGAGATTGATCCGCGTGAAATTGACATGGACTCCAGCGAGCTTGTAGGCAAAGGATCATTCGGTGAAATTCGGAAGGCGTTCTGGCGGGGCACTCCCGTGGCGGTGAAGACCATCAGGCCTTCTCTTTCTAATGACCAGATGGTCGTGAAGGATTTCCAACACGAGGTGCAACTGCTCGTCATGGTCCGGCACCCTAACATTGTTCAGTTCCTCGGCGCTGTCACGCGGCAGAAGCCACTCATGCTGGTCACCGAGTACCTCGCAGGGGGCGATCTCCACCAGTTGTTGAAGAAGAAGGAGAATCTCACCCCCGACCGCATTGTGAAATACGCCCTCGACATCGCGCGAGGGATGTCCTACTTGCACAACAGGACCAACCCCATTATCCACCGCGACCTCAAGCCGAGGAACATCATCTTGACAGAAGACAAGGAGCTGAAGGTCGGGGACTTCGGATTGAGCAAGCTGATCAACGTGGAGCGCATGCACGATGTGTACAAAATGACGGGGGAGACGGGGAGCTACAGGTACATGGCGCCCGAGGTCTTCGAGCACAAGGTTTACGACAACTCCGTTGACGTGTTCTCCTTTGCAATGATGTTATACGAGATGTTCGAAGGGTTAGCTCCTTTCGACGATAAGGAAGCGTATGAGGCTGCAACACTAATAGCCACAGATGAATGCCGGCCACCTATGCGAGTAACCACGTATCCTCCAGGTATGGTGGACCTGATCAGGAAGTGTTGGTCCTCGTACCAGCCCAGCCGGCCGCCGTTTGACAAAATCGTCCAGCAGCTTGAAAGAATGCTGGAGGAAATCACGCTAGTGCCCAAGGACAGGCGCCACCTTCGCGACATTCTGCACATTCCACGACGCCCGTCGCAATCTCAAGCGTATAATTTATAACCTATCCATGGAGCTGTCCAGCCAATTCTCGCCGCCGCGTATTTGTGATCTTCGTCGTCAAGCGTGTGCTCCCCACTCACAGCTCAAGTGATTGGACAACTTCCTGCCTCGGATCCATGATGATGCAACTGCTCCTGCACTGAATCACTGCCGATGCTTCCCACAACATCATGGACCGCCGGATCTCCTGTTTCAAGCCTGCGGTGCATGGCTTTGCAGACCCCACATCGCCGAGTGTCTATATCGATGGCTGTTTTGTGGCATTTTCGCCATTATCTTAACAATCTTACAATACCGATGTGAAGTGTAACATAAAAACTCCGGCTCTTCACTGTTGTCTGTGCTGCGGCTGCTGCTGCGTGATGTTCGCTTTGGTGTGTGCAACAAATGTGTTGGGCAAACATTTGTTGACCTCAAGCCCTAAAAGCTTAAACCCTAAACCTGGTCCCAAACGGTAAAGCTTGAGGAGCTTCAAAGTTCCCAGACAACGCCAACATCGTTTTTGTGTTGGTTTTGACCATCTGCATGTTTGTGGGCATTTCTAAGGTTTTGATGAGCTTCAGATTAGTTTTTTGATGGGTTCTTTTTGTGAATCTTTGTTTCATCCCAGAAGCCACTTGTAGGTGGGTGGGTGTGTGGTTTTAAAATGTACTTTTGAATGTTGTTTATAAGGTCACAGTTGTTGAAGGTGTAATGCATGTGTTCTCTCTTTGGTGAAGTTGTGAATCCATGTATGTGAGAAGTTTGTTAGGTTTTTTTAAGGTTTTTACTTTTGGACATTGATCGTACAAGTACGTCAATGTACTGCTCTAAAGCTGGAGTTGATTGGAATAGTTGCAAATATTACAGCAAGCGTCATACTAATTTCAATTTATTGTTACGATGACATTACATTTAATATGTATATCACATTACACTGAATTACAATTCATCATATACTTGATTTGTATTTGACTAGATCAGATTATAAATACATTAGCTCCCTAACAAAACGTTCGGGTTTTAAATCCTCGGACTCTGGCTATCATTTACTGGTTAAAGAAAATAATTAAAATTAGAATTATGTTATTATTTTACTACAATTATCATTACAAGAGTAATCCATCAAAATTCCTTGTCACTTGAACAGCAAATGAAACTTAGAGCAACTGCAACCCTTTGCACGCAGTTTTTCACCACTAAGCTCTACATTGAGACGATACCTCCTCGTATCGCAGAATCCATGTTTCTTCGTAGTTTCTAAAAATAAATGTACCAACCGACGTTGACATGCCTGATTTGCGACAATCAGCAGACCACTGCATCGTTGCCAACTTTCGATTGGAAGATCTATAAAGAAATATGACGCTGAATTGTTAAGTATGATAGATTGACAGGATCACCTCTCTAAAGGCGTACAATGAAATTAGTTTTCCCTATTCATTAATTGCAATGTGCATGGGGAGCAACTGATGGCTTATCTTTTGAAAACCTGCTATCCTTGCACTTCGGGACACCGGTGCTAGGAGACGGCTACTAGGAAGAGGCACAAATATCACTTGAGTTTGATCTCCTCTCCTTCACAATTCGAGGTAACGTGGGCGTTTGGTGCGTCTCGAATTCCTCTTGATACCTCCAACACAGAAAGTAAAGCTGGAGGAATAATGGCTAAAGCAGCATGTGAACAGAAGTGGCTCATACAGTTGATGGAGCTGTGGGAATCTGAACTGCGAGGATCTGCCTGTCGCTGAATTTGGGTGCTGCTTCTCTAGTTTGCTGTGGAAAGATGGTATATCTCTCCAAACGTTAAAAAGGAACACTAGCTGTGTGCATGATAAACAAGGGCTCAGCCAAGGTGCTTGTCTATGCCGTGTGCTTGAGTTAAGCACAAGCTCTTTCAGCTCCGTGATCCTTCAACACCGACCACCGTAATAGAAATGAGTGCCCCAGGCTTTACTGCTGCCTGAAGACACGGTGTAGCAGGTGGGCTTCGTGGACACAGCCTGCAAGTCTTGGACTTGGTACAGTTTGTTGTTCATGGCAACATATTGCAAGTTCCTCTGATAGGCGGCCTTTCTGAAACCCGAAGCGGGAATGTCACCGCTACCCATGTGCGTCTTTGTCTGACTATTATCGTCTCGGACATCGAAGACCTCCCCACCCCACTGGATCAAGTCGCTCGTGTTTTGGAGCGAGTGGAAGAGATAACTAGGCCAGTAGCCGACGTAATCCTGGTTGAACTGAAGCCACCAATTGCCGGAGTCATCATCCTGCAACAGTTGTCAAAGTTCACACTGAGATTAATTATACTTCAGCCCAGTAAATCATGTTGACATAAAGCGCTGTGGAAATGAACTTTGAATCAAGGTATCTTCAATGAATACCTTGAATACGCGCAGTCTGATTTCATACTGTTCTGAATTTGCAGCGGAAGGTGGCGATATTGCACCACCGAGTAGAACCTTGTTGCTCACTTGCACGAATCCTGGACTTAGACTCGAACAATCTTGGTTTAGGTTATAGCAACCTGTTTTTACATACCCGTCTCCCTACAAAAGCGCGCGAGGACGACGTTGCTCATCATTCCGAGACTAACCGTGTCAAAGATCATTCACATTGTTTAACTTTCACATAGTTGGAAGAGGAGATTTTAGAGCTTAAATTTAGTTACTCACTGTCCAGTAGACGAATAGTCGAGGACGCATGTCGCTGTACAGATCCGAGTAAACCTGCCAGCCAGTTTCGATTGAGTTCATGGGCCAGTTAATGCTGTCGGGGGTGAACGATAAGCCCGTATTCATTACCCATAGCTGGGCAAGGCTGAAATCTTCGGGCTCCACAAATGGTTGCCATACGTTCATCACCACTTCGGTGCCCTTGTAGGACGGAGGATGAGATATAGTCGTTGCAGTGTAAGCATGCTGCCATTCCCTCTTTAGACTTTTAGTTTACATCCAGGGACAAAATTGCTTCAAATCTAAACACATCCTTAGATCTTTAGAGAGGTAACTCACGTGGTGCACGTACTGACGTGAAGATGTGCTGGAGCTCTGCACTTCCTGGGTGGGACCACCTGCTCCTGCGGTAGGATACAAGGGAGAGTTGCGACCCGTGCGCATGGGTATCTGCCCTTTGGGACACTTGCCAATCTCTTTGGCAAAAACCTGAGATGCCATCTTCACATCATTTTGGACTTCTGAAGGACTACTTTCCGGTTCTGGGTGATTTGATGGCTTTAACTGCAAATTTCCAAATCCATCAGCATCGTGACGTAGAAAATAAATATGTACACACCGAACCGGAAAGTCTTCAGAAAGAGTTAATTCTGTTGATTGCTTTTAAAACCATGGTGTCCCAAAGGATCTAAAAAGGTGAACGTTACAAGAGTAAGGCTGTGCTAGTACACTGAAATTAGTTCTTACTTGAATGTTTGGGCTGTCCAAATGAGACAGGGACGGTTGTTCTTCAATTGGGATGCACAACACTGTATCGCCATCGCTTAACTGCGAATAAGAACCAATAAAACTTGTCTGTAAAGAACTTGCAACTTCTGTTACATCACATGTTTTTCCTACTCGGAGGTTCTCATAGGGTGTACTGGCATCAAGGAACTTATATAATACTGTAAACAAGACACGTAAGTGTCTTACAGTTATGGATGTCTTCTCAGTTGCCGTCGAAGCCGATAGCTGTCCCTTAAGACTCTCAAAACCGGCGAGCGCCCGCATTTTCTTGTGCCCAGTCGGCAGTGGCCGACGAGGAACCGGAAAGGGAGTTCCACTCACAGCTACGAGATTGCACAAAATGAGACTTATACCCACGAATGCTACTTCACCTACGCAACTAATATTTTCCAGCTTAGTCCCCATACTAGATTTCATCGCAGTAACCCGAGGCACTCAGCTCTCTCCGCACAACCAGAACCACAAAACCTCAAAATAAAACCCAACAATCGCCACAGCGCAAAAAACTCCTCCTGCTACAGACCGAAGCCCATCATCAAAAATGAACAGAAACAGTGTCTCCCGTTCTCCTCCGTACATCACCAAAAGCAGGCAGGATCATTCCAGGAATAGCCACCTCATGGAACTACCCATTACAACATGCTCCACTGAAGCTCCACTATTTCCATTAGATAGCAACCTGCAGCCCATACCGTCGCATGCAACGACAAACCAAGCCAATAAACTATCGAAGTTGAAACTCTAGAAACTTTGCTAGTCATTGATTAGAGGTTGAAAACCTCCACATCTAAAAACAAAAAACAAGTGATGCGCTTAACAATGTTGTCTTACGCCTGAAGAAGAAGAAGACGACCAATTCACAGCCGAGGCCCAGTGTCAGTGAATCAATCACCACAACTACTGCAGTGCAGGTAAGTCCCGACCTCTTCCGCATTCTTCCCCCGCTAGCCGCGAGACGTTGGGGCCAACATGGTTATAGCCCTTTACCGCGTGTATATCTGGTGATCGGATGAAGGGAAGTCTAAAGGAATGGATGATAAATTGATTAAATTGCTAAAATGGATGAATAAGCGTTCATCTATTAAGCTCTATCCGTGTGGCCTGAAGAGCTTGACTCTGCGGAAACAGCTTGTCCACGGAACGTCTTCCTTCGCAATCCTCACGCTCGTGAGGAATTTCGGCGCTGTGGAAGTGTTCTCGTAGAAATTCGAAGGACCGGGATTCGAGGGGAGCTTCTCAGAAATGATTTTGTGGATTTCAGTGTGGAGATTGGGGTGGTTGTAGCTGGTTTCGTGGTTGTTTTTGGTGGGTTTCCGATTGTGTTGTTTGGTTTCTGTTTACTCAAGTTGGGTCGTCCATGACGACAGCGACAATTGTGGACACACTCATGTCCCGTCTTCCCACTCCATTTTTTCAGTCGCAGAATCGATGCGCCTACCTGCTGACGAGATGGTGCCCTGTGGCCGGAACGCGGATTCATCCACACAAGAATGTTGTTCTTGGAAGCCGCAGCAGGAGGAGATTGAATGTGCTTCGAATCGGGAATTGCGAGGGCCTGGGAAGAGGATCGTCGCTCGGTCCCTCAAAGCATGTAAGCAATTGGTTTACGGTGCCCTGTTTTTCTATGACATTAGTGGTGAATTTGTTTACAGGGATTGGGATCCCCGATGGCATGTTTCATTTTAAGTATATGTTAACCTAGAAGATCCTAGAATTGACACCACGAAGGTATCAGAAGAATTTTGTGTTTCAGGTTTTTTTCGAATTTTGAGTTGATAATTTGAATGAGATTTTAGTAGTATTCTATAAAGCTTAATTCGTTTGCACGTTGAGCACGTGAAGAGATTGAAAATGAAACTGAATAAGGAAATACTTAGCTCACATCTGTCAGCACCATAGTATTGCTAGCTTTGCCAGTCTTCACATAGACAACAGCCTCAATTTTGTCGCTATTTCTAAGCATACTTAATGACATCATGCATGACAATCCCATTGGTTTTAATCGCTCTCTCGTTCTCTGTCTTTTCCTCTCGAAACATTTATCTTCAAAAAGCTGTCAGCTTGGTACTGTGCAGTGTTGATATATTGTATCCTTCAATTTTGTGTTACACGGTTATTGCAGGTCAATGGAAAGATAACTACAATACGTGCTGCTGGAGGCTATTTCTCGGTTCAACCTAGCTCAAGGCGCAACGTATCGAAAAAAGAGTTTCCTCTAGATAAAAAATTGGCAGATTTGAGGAAAGAATTTGAAAAAAATGCAGACTACAAAGGCTTAGATGCTTACATTGTTCCGTCTGAGGATCCCCATCAGGTGAATCATTCTTCCCGTTTTGAAGCAGAATTCTGGTTTAAGTTATTGGCGTTCAAAAAATGAAGCCAAGTAAGACTCTGGGCTTGAACAGAAGGAATTTTTTCTTCTGGATTTGCATCTTTCTCAGTTTATGAAAATTGGCATTGGCTCCTTACAATCAGCTGGCATGATTCAGTCTTTCTTTTCCACCTGAAACTGATGCTTGCGATTGTGGAACTGTGCAGAGTGAGTTTATTGCAGATTGTTACATGCGCCGCGCTTATATCTCAGGATTTACAGGAAGTGCAGGCACAGCTGTGATAACCAAGGAGAAGGCTGCTCTATGGACTGATGGCCGCTACTTTCTGCAGGTCCGACTCCAAACCTTTCACTTTTAGTCTGCTTCATTTGTTTATGCTGGTTGAGTGTAAACAATTTTAGATGCCATGAAGTCTAGCTTTACGGGTTCGTCATGTGCTTTATAAGAATGTATGCCCATGTATTGTAGTACATGCGAAAGATTGTACAAGATTTCATTTTCTTCGTGACCAATTTTTGGTCTGATTGCGAGGGTCTGATGATTTTCAGGCCGAGAATGAGCTTGGACATGAGTGGACTCTCATGCGGGCAGGCCAGCCATACACCCCATCCACTAGTGAGTGGCTGAAGGAAACTTTACCAGAGGGAGCTAGAGTTGGAATTGATCCGGTAAGCTGCTTGTACTCTTTGATCATGGTTAGAAGGGTCACCATATCAAAGCCCAGTGTTGTGTTGATTATTTGTTGAGACGATAATCTGGTCACAATCTCCCATTTTACCTGGTCTACTGGTCGATTTTCTTTGTATCACTCAAGCCTGGGTAGCTATCTTATCTTGTGTACAGTTTTTATTCTCAGCTGATGCAGGTGAGGAACTGAGACGAGTCCTTGCTGAGAAGGACCAGGAACTAGTCTTAGTGTATGAGGACAACTTGGTGGATAAGGTGTGGGGGGATGCAAGACCTGCACCACCTTCAGAACCTTTAAGGGTGCACGAACTACGGTATGCCGGGGTTGATGTGGCCACGAAGCTTACCAATCTGCGCAAGGAATTGGTCAACGCAGGGGCATCGGCAATTATTATTACCATGCTTGACGAAGTGGCTTGGCTATTGAACGTGGTGTGTATTGTAATCGAAGTGTTGGATTTGTAAATTGTAGTTTCCAGCTGTGTGCTCGTGCAATGTGAAAGTTATTATTGCTCTCCTGGCTGCAATCAATCTATGAAGCAATCAAATCTTTCATACAAGTTCAAATATTAGAGTTTAGCCCGTGAAATGCTTGTAGTCTAGATGACCTGAACATCTCCTATGTATACATGTATTTGCTAATCAAAGCACATACGTACGTTGAGATCGGGTTTAACTTTTTTTTTTTTTTGTCAAAAACTGGAAATTTACAGTATCTGTGACGTTGATTCATGCAGCGAGGTAACGATGTGCCTCACTCGCCGGTGGCATATGCGTATGTGGTGGTCGGACTTGAAACTGCGTCCCTCTTTGTTGATGAATCCAAAGTCACTCCTGAAGTTTTAGCCCATCTGAATGAAGCTGGAGTCACAGTGAAGCCTTATGCATCATTAGTATCTGAAATCAAAGGGTACGAATCACAAGTAGATTAATCACTAGTATGTAGGCACCTTTACATTTTTGTGTGTCTAGCAACGGTAACCAGAACATGAGGAAATAGATTAGGTAGAAAGAATTGGGCTAATGAATGGAGCATATATCAGATGAATTTCAGATTGTTTCGGCCTCTAATGCTAGTAGTATATGCTTTAGAGTTTAGTGATCGACTACGTCATACTGTTTAGTGCAGGATGTAGTGTTGGAACGGGAATGTTGCGTTTCTTACCCTCTAATAGCACCTGTTTGTTTGTCTCAGGTTGGCATCAAAAGGATCCAAGTTATGGCTGGATTCTTCAAGAGTAAGCGTGGCCATTAAAAATGCATTCGACGATGCTTGTGCGCAATATTACGAAGACCTGGAAATTGCAAGGTCTAAACGTAGTAGTAAGGGGAAAACCGCATTTGACGAAGAACTCAATGGGCCAGCTGCTCTGCACCGACCTTCACCTGTTGGCATTGCAAAGGCTATCAAGAACGATGCAGAGCTTGAGGGAATGCGACAAGCTCATCTAAGGTGTCATTCTAAACCATTGAAATCTGTCGGACTCTGGTTGTTTTTGGGGCCATTGCCTTTGCTTCTGGCTACGGTGGCTCAAGATATGTTTACTTTTCAGTGTTTGAGTTTATCTGCCTTGCTATTTCTACAGGGATGCTGCTGCACTTTGTGAGTTTTGGGCATGGTTAGAGAGTAAGATAGTGGATGAAAAGCAACAGATATCCGAGGTTGAGGTTGCGGATCATCTTGAAAAGTTTCGGGCAAAGCAGGCAGGCTTTTTAGACACGAGCTTTGAGACTATTAGTGGTGTGACTTCTACCTATATCATTTTAACCGAAATTTTTGTGGTTTTGGCAATACTGTTGATTCTTACCATTCCATCGTGGCTGAATGTGTGCTCTTTGTTCGAGACTGGTCGCAATCTGTTGCTGTATCATTTTCTGAGTTCAATATCTTCTAACAGGAAATATAAGTGTTTAAGAAGGATAATTTTGTTGTTTCAGGATCTGGACCAAACGGTGCTATTGTACATTACCGAGCGGAAGCAGCGACGTGTAGATACGTGGATGATAAACAGCTGTACCTGCTAGATAGTGGCGCTCAATTTGTGGATGGCACGACGGACATAACGCGCACAGTTCATTTCGGAACACCCTCAGCTCGCCAGAAAGAATGCTTCACACGAGTTCTTCAGGTGCAAATTACAGCCGATATCTTTTTTTTATTCTCCCTACTTTCTTAAGTCGATACCTGTTGTCTTAAACACTCGAAACTAATTGGGAAAAATTGCTACTCAAAACTAATCTGAACAATATTCCTCATTTAATAACGATATATGTTATTTTCTCCGATTGCCTAAATTGGTTTTTGTGTTGTTGGATTGACTTTAATATTTGTTGTCCCTCTTGTATTATTAGCTGTAAACTCCCAGTAAGTGTTATGAATCAATTTTGTTTTCCATGATGGCAATTTGCAGGGCCACATTGGAGTGGACACTGCTGTGTTCCCTGAACATACACCAGGATTTGTGCTAGATGCATTCGCTAGATCATCACTCTGGAAGATCGGCTTGGATTACCGTCATGGTATCTGTCTTACTCTTTCCTTTGGACCCGAAAGGATTTTTTTTTTTTTTGAATTGAAATGTCGACATTGCAGAACTGTCAGACTTGACGATTTTCCTTGAAAATTTCGCCACCATAGTAAATGATAGTCTACTGGATATGGTTAAGTATTGGTAATACCGAAGATCTGACCTCTTGTTGCGCTACAGGAACGGGTCACGGAGTAGGAGCAGCATTAAATGTACACGAGGGGCCTCAGAGTGTTAGTGCACGGTTTGGAAACATGACAGGTTTAGAACAGGGGATGATTGTCAGTAATGAACCTGGATATTATGAAGACCGGGCCTTTGGCATTCGTATTGAGGTGTGATCTTCTTTCGTTGGCATATGTGCAAGCAGATATAATTTTCTAGACACCATGATGCATCTCATCATAGTGAAAATGGGACTTAACTTGCGTATTTGATAACTGCCTGTAGAATCTTTTAATTGTACGGGAGCAAATGACAGCGAATAACTATGGAGGGGTGACATTCCTTGGGTTTGAGCGATTGACGTTTGTACCCATTCAGGTAGACCTTGGAATCTGATACTTTCATCAGCAAATTAATCGCCTGTTCTTGAACCCTTAGTTAATTTGATGCATCGACGCAATCTATCGTTACCTGATGTTGCACCAAATTATGATCAATTGAACGTGGTTGGTTTCTTCCTGGGATCAAGCCATTTGTCATAACAAGTTGTCTTGTTTCCTGTAGACAAAGCTGCTGGACCTGGAAATAATGTCGGATCAAGAAATTAAGTGGCTCAACGACTATCATGCTGAAGTTTTTAGGAAGGTATGTTTCCCTTGACATACCCCAGAAAGCACGTAAAATCTTCTCGACTGAACCAGGAGCATTGTTTTACAAACCACTTTTATGCTATTCAAATCCTTCCTTAGTTAGCTAATAGCGTGAAGTTGTCGGCAAGCTTTTGGTAATTGATTGGTTTCCACAGGTATCTCCTCTGGTGAAAGGAAATGCACGGAGGTGGTTGGAGGAGAACACCAGACCAATCGGAAAAACTGGGAAATCCAGCAAGCCTGAAGAGTTGATCACCGCCTCAAAGTGACACATTAGTTTCCTCTTGCAGAAATCCAACTTCTGGGTTATTATTGGACTGTATTGTTAAGCTTGTCATAAGTCTTTTAGATTATTTTTTTCAAAAATTTCGCTTATTCAAGCATCAATCTAAAGATGACAGAAATGCACCTAATTTTGGATCACCCTTATTACTCACAGAATCTCAGGAAGAGTGTACTGGATGTTTACAGTGAACCTTCGACGAATGAAAAGCTTAGGTTGATCATCAATCTGTGTGAAAATTCAATATTGGTTTTAATGTAGGAGAAATGCATAGATGCAACAAGCTCTCAATACTCGTGCATTTTCAAAGGATATCCGCCTCAACACTTTTAATATATCAATGAAAGACTCTTGAGATATGTTCAAGGCTTGATTACAAAATTTTACAAGAAGAAATGAGATTAGGGGAGGGAAGAAAAAAAAAAAAAAAAAAAAAAAAACTTGTGATGGAAGGTAAGAATTATAAAGAAAGCAATGAGATGTGAGAATATGAAAACGTTGTCTTCCTATTACAATACAAGAAGGTGAAATAAAGTTGTGAAGAAACATTGAGTTAGAAACAAAAGACCTCAAAGAGAACTACTAGGAAAATTAAAACATTGGTGAGGTTTTGAAATACTTAGAAGATTTTTATGGCATTCAAAGTATTTGAAACCATGGACAAATATAAATTTCAAAAAAGAACATGGTAGAAGAAGGTTTATAAGTAGAAGGCTTAAGGAAAATCCTAGTTTGAAGACATTTTTTAGAGAGATGCCTTAAGAAGCTTACAAGTAATGGATATAAAATTACAAAAAATTAGACATAAATGATTGGCCTTCTTAAGATGGATTTCTCATCAAGTGGGTATAAACCACTTCCATATAATAAAAGAGGGTATTAGAATAATATAGATCATAATTAAGGAGTTTAATGATGAGAACACATTTAGTAAGGATGTCAATTTTCATGATTCACTAATAGAGAAGTAAGCCCTATAAGTCAAGTTAAAGTTTAAAAAATTAAAAGAAGGGTAAAATTAGCCATTATAATGCAAGAAAGAATAGCACATTATTTATAAATAAATAAATAAATAAAATTCACACTTCTTAGCAAATGTGAGGGATTTGCATAGTAGTATAATGCTAGAGGACTTAGAAAGCTCTAAGACCATAGTATGTCTATGGAAATACATAACATATTAAAAAAGTTACAAATAAAGTTTTTGGAATAAAAAAAGAACTTGAGTATGTCAATGAGAATATTGCTCTTGAAAGTAGAAGAAGGTGTAAGGTTCTATTTTGAAACATTATCTTATAAGTTGAAATCAAATTCTTGTGTTCAAAGTCTAAGGGTAGAATATGATGTAGGACAAGTAGGAGTAGCAATTGGTGTTGTATTTTAGTTGTAACAAGCATCAAGCAAGAGTTCAAAGAGTTTAAGGGTCTCATTCTAAGATACTTGAAGGTATACTAAAAAGTAGAACTGTAAGTAAAAATAGTGTATAGGGCTTAAAATATCCAATGCCCTTTTATACCTCAACCTTAAGGAGCCACAATAAAAAAAAATGCATCAAAACCATGGTTGAGGTTTCTTTAAAAGAAGACAATACAATAATGTAGGGATGCAACGTGAGATATAAGTAGTAATGGGAGTCATAGAGTTAGTGTAGACTTTTCAAAACTTGTTCTTTTGTAGTAGCAATATGAATAACTACAACAACTAAGACTTTTTTGATATAAAAAAATATATTTAATAGTAGTATGCAACTCAAAAGTGAGAAGATTGCTAGAAGTAGCAACACTCTTTTAGAACAATCTATAGGATGAGAGATGTAAGAACTTATTGCAATGGTTGTAATTTTGTCTCTTTGATATTTTAATGGTTTGTCAAAGTGATTTCTAAAGATGGAAGCATTGTATTGTAGACAAAGGTAGAGGCATTGTACAACAAAGCTTTAATTTGTAATATATATTTTAATGTTTTTTCCTTATAAAATATAAATTTTAGGAGATAATTAAAGATTCTAGTATTAAATGTGATATAAGAACATATTTTGGAATTCTAATGTCATTGGTGATATTTATTTTTTATTTTTTTATTTTTTTAATAGTTCATCTTTGTGCCACAAACATATATATTTATTCCCATAATTACCTATATAATTGAGTAGGAGTAAGTAAAAGTAGATTAATTTCATAATATCTTCTAAATAAGCTTCATAGATGCGATTTATATGATTCCTACTTAAAACTCAATGATTTGTTTAAGATTGCATCAATCTTAAACATTGCTAATCTTAAACATTGCTTCATATGATGTGATTTATATAAATAATCTTTAATTACTAATATTTATTTAATTACAAAAGTATAATTAAATAGAATAGATAAATAATTAATTAATTGAAACCTACAAATTATTATTTCTTGAATGATTGGTGGTGAAAGTAATTGATCAAATTATTACCATTAATTCATAGTAAAATTAAAAAATCTTAAAGGTTGAATTAAAAGTAAAATTTAAAATTTAAAGTTAAATTAATAAAAAATAAAAGTTAAATTTAAAGTAATAAAAAATAAAAAATAAAATTTAAAATTAAAGTAAAATAAAAAATAAAAGTTAAAAGTAAAATAAAGAAGATTAAAGGTTAAAAGTTAATTTTAAAATCTAAAAGTTGAAATATGGAAGTTTCAAATTATTGTAAAAATAAAAGTAAAAGTAGAACTAAAGAAAAATAAAAGTGAAGGTTCCTCGACAATGCCTAAGAATTGAGGGCAGCAATTCCTTTTTATTCCAAAATTTGCCAAATTTTTTTATTAACTCCAAATTTAATTATTTTTAGTTTATTGCAAATTTAACTTGAAAGCGCTCCTATTAAAATCATTTTAAATTCAATCCAGTACCTAAGCCGCGAGAAATACTCCTTCAAAATTGAGTGACCACGACTGCCATTGGAGGCAACCTCCCTCTACTTGAAAATTAACCAAAAATTCAATTCGTCTTTGAATTTAAAAAAAATTATTCCATTAGAAGTTCAGCTTAAAGATTCACTTACTCACAAAATTTTACAATAATTCAATTAGGAGGCACTGAGAAATGCCTTTTCAAAGATGGATGATCTAAACTGCCAAGGCAGCCGACCTCCATGCACTCAAAATTCCACCAAAATTCCGCCCTTACTTCAAATCAAGTGATTCTTATTTTTTTGAAAAGCTAACACTAAAAGCTACAACCAAAAATATAATTCACATCAAAACTAAAAAAATTGAATGACTGATTGAAGAAAATCCAAGGCTCTTGAACCCTTGGGATATTTGGGAGGCCAAGGGAGCTATCTATGACAATGACCTATGTCTTTAAATTCAATGACCATCATTCACTATTCTAGATCCATATATATACAATCACAAGTTCTCAATGAGATTAAAAATAAAAATAACAAAATTAAGATTAGGATTTAGGGCCAAAATTTGGCATGGCTTTGTTCTTCATCAAAAGAAGAGAGAGATAGAGCTTGGAGAACCAAGCCACTCTTATACAATTGAGTGGTGGATTGTGGAAGAGCAGCGATATCTCTACCCTTGATCTCTAAGGTCCCTAATGTAGATCTATGGCCTTCATTCATCTAAGAGCCAATTTCGTTATTAATGCTAATGACTCTTGTAAGTAGTCAAGTAAGTACCTTTTGGTAAATCTAATTTCACCATTGTACTAAAAATATCTTTTAATACTAAAATCAACTATTCACATTCCCTAATTCATGCTCAATTGTAATTTTTATGAAAGGTTTTACTTACAAGGATCTTGTCAATTCTTATAAAATTCTTCAAAATAAGAATTTCATTGCTCCACTTGTATTTTGAAGAAGAGGGTGCTGATCTTATTTTCTTTATTCCATCGAATGAATTTGATGCCACCATTGCATTAAAAAGGCTTCCGTTAATTAATAACGAAATTACAAGAACTACTATGCCACTTGAATTTATTGAATTGGAGGAAATTTCAAAACTGTCATTGCTAGTTTCACTAAATCTTTTAGAAAATTATAATTCTAACTCATTCTAAATCATGTGAAATGATTATAGGTGAACTCATAGGCTTTTAGTCAATTCTCATAGTAGTGACTAATAACCTCTAAATTATTAGAACTAACTAAGTTGCTATTCTAACTTTCTAACTCTTATCACTTTTGTCCTAATTAACATAATTCTATGAATTAGGCTATAATTTATACCATCAAAGTTGCACTCCTAAAAATTCTATAAAACTAAAATTTACTTATATAAATCCTAATCTAAGATGCTCAATTATCATAAAATCAAGAAATAACAAAAATTTAAATTTTAGAGCATAATTGAGAGCATAATTTTACATAGCAATTATAGATCATAATAGCGTAGTAATATTTAATGTAATAAGATCTTCTAATCTGTTTATTTTAGGATTATAGTGATCAAAAAAGCATATCCAATAAATAGATTAATTTTTTTAATTTTAAGTTTTTTTGTAGTTTAATCCAAAATTTTGTTAGTCGAGTAAAAATATATAAGTCTAGTACATCAAAACCTTTACTCATATGTACCAAAGCTTTCATTATTATGGCAAAAAAAGGATAATTTTTTGCTATATATGCCATACTTATTTCTATTGGTGGAAAGATATCAAGTGGTATTTTTAGCTAATAACAAGATTTTTATAATATTTTTGAAAAAAAATATAAATATTCTACCAAAGCATTGATTCTATGATTTTTCAATTGATTTGCAATAAAGAATTCAACCACCATTTGACCAATCTACAACTTATTGCAAAATGAATTTATTATAATAAAGAAGTATATTGACAAGAACTTGGCTAAAAACTTCATATACTATTTAAAATCTCCAATAGGATTTCTTATCTTATTTTTGAAGAATAACAATGGATTTTTTTTGGATGTGCATAGAGTATCAAAGACTCAACAAGGTTAGTATAAAATATAAGTATCTCCTATTTCTAATTTTAATTTTTTTTGACCAATTCAATCAAGTAAAGATATATACTAGAATAGATTTACAAGAAGCATGTAACTTGGTTTGCATCAAAGAAGGAGATGAATAAAAGACTATTTTCAAAATAAGATATGGACATTTAAATATAATTTCATGCTTTTTGGATTCATAAATACACCAAACCCTTTTCAATATTTCATAAGTAATATTTTGTGAATTTTTTGATGATTTTATTTTTTTCTATTTAAATAAAA